AAAAAAATAAAAATAAAAATATGCAGATAGTTGTCACAAGAGAACACTTTGAGTTGCCTTTGAATAGATTGAATCAGGTGGTGATGAGCATGGCAATGGTAGCTGGTAATAGGTGGGTGCTGCATGCTACCAGAGAGACTGTGGGCAAGCAAATTGTCACGACACAGACCAATCGAGCACGCGTGATCACTTTGTTTGGATTATATTTTGCTCTCATGCATTTAATTCTCATCAGAAGACTATATGTATTATGTACATACCGTCGGTGCCAACTCAGTGGTTTGGATTTCTTATAACCCATGCATTCACATACACACAGGCTAGATCGATGTGCGTACATTGATTTCATGTGTTTTTATTTGTAGAAGCCACGTATACCTTACTATGTACTACCAATTTTCACAAATTATTTTAATTTAATATTGTCACTTAAATCTTCACCATTTCAATTCCTTAAAATGTATTTGACTGGCCATTTCAGTTATTTATTAGCTTAGAATTTTGTTTGATTAAAATAAAAATATTTAGTAAGAGAACACATTTTATCAATTTATATGTTTTTTAGATGCTACTTGGTATAATGTTTGATCTTATAATTCAAAAATACTGCTTTACTTTTACTTTAATATTACAACAAAGTTCCTCATTTACCAACTTTGTTATCCTATACTATTTATATTAATTATCATACTCTTTGATTTTTAATGAAAAAATAAAATTAACTAAAATATCCAAACACTATAATTACCTAAAAATATATTTTTTTCTAGAAAATTAAAAAAACTGTAAACAATATTATTATAAACACATTATTTTAAATTTATCAATTAATTCAATAAATAATTTTACTAAACACTTCTAATTTAACAATATAACTTAATAACTTTCAATCATTTTTTAAACTTTTAATTAAGTTATTAACTATTGTTGACAAATCAAATCTTTAACTGAGTTAACAACTTTCATTTGGGAGTCACTGTTCCCTCGTGTGGAGGAAAATATATACATGTGTGTGTGTGTAAGATGCTGAAATCACAACCCTATTGAATATTGAAAAATATCTATACACAATCTTGTGGGTGAAAATTTGTATATATTATAAATTTAGTCTCCCTTACTTGTATCAACACAATTTATATATAATAAAACTATTCAAATATACAGTTAGGATTAAATTTATGTGTACTTTTTCAACTAATGGCACCCGCATAAATACATGTGTACGAACCCAGACATTGATTAATGATAGAGGCTATATTCAACTGTGTTATGAATGTGCCGTCCAAAACAACTTACTTTTAGGGTGAGTTTGATGTACGTGCTAGCTAGATGATATATATTATGAGGTATTGATGACAGGACAAGACTTGGGTGTTAACATATACGTACTTTTGTTGTTATAATTATCAATGAAACTATAAATTGTATAAAAATTATTGTACATGCTACACTTTTATTACAAAACTTATTTAAAAAAATTATAAATAAATAGATATCAGGAGAAGCTAGTTTAAGTGGTCTATTTCTCTTACTCTTATCTCATTATATTATATCTTCATTTACTCTAAGGACGTCTGGCATGTACCGACAAAAGCTAGTTTGATATGTGGAAGGCTATGATCAATGAATGAATGAATTGGATGCATGGAAGCTAACATTGACTCCCAAATTGGCAATAGCTACTAAAACCATATGCGTGAAAGCTAGAGCAAGTCCAGACAAACAGGGAACTGTATGCTCGAATTAAATAGCTATGTCTCCCTGCAAGGTTGCTCTTATCCTAACTTCCACATCTGTACGTGGATACCCAATATAGCAACGTGAAACATTATCTTATGGAGTCTTATGAGTTATAATTAAGGTCTATAGGAGCTGTTAAGTTTTGTATTCAGGATCCAAGTGATTAAAACAAGTTCTGGTTAAATGTTCTTTTAAGCAAAAATAATATGTAACCAAACTAAAAAAAGAATGACATCCTTCAAATTTTGCAAAATTTAAAAATAAACGTTTGTTTAGACTCACATTTAAATAATCATAGATCTACATTTATTTCAATATTATTAATTGAAAGTTATGTTTTAAATTCACGTTATTTTGCAAAATTTTTCTTAAGATACACTAAATCCTATCTATAACATTTTTTATACAAAAATAAATGGATTTTTTACACTCTGTCTTCTCGAAATAGGTTTTTTTGAAACAAAGATTCTTCCGAAGCTGCCACAGAAGGTGTGTACTTCCAAAAATCAAAACCAGTTGAAATGAAATAAACCAATCCATATCAAGAAAATAAAGATATTGTATAAAGAAGGTAGATTAAATTCGATAGGTGTCTTTTCAGCTGAAAACAAAATGAGGGGTATCTATTTTAATCTGCTAATCAGATATATATAGATTCGCGATAAGATTACACACTGAAAGCATACAAATATTTGCGGGTATTTACGTTTGTGGCTTTGGCATGCGAAGTTTCGTAAAAGCATGCAGACCCAAAATATGTTGGCATCGCGGTGCAAGTTGCGAATGTCACTGTTATAATCTTATATGGATGCTCAAAGTTATTTATTTTATTTTATCGAATTTTGGATAATAAGATCGGAAAAGTTACAAAGTTGGGAAAACAAGTTTGACAAATTAATTAAATGTAATTGATACAGAACTTCATTGATGTACCTTTTAATGGTTGTATTGCTGTAGCATTTAGTTGGAAGAAAATGAAATAAAAATAAAGGATTCTCTTATCATTTTTTTCTTTGGTTCAATTTTTTTTAAGGATTCTTTTCATATCTATAAGACTTTGTTTAACCTTTAAAACGTAGTATTCAAGTTCTTTATTAATTAGTTTTAGTAATTGTTTCTTTGCAAGTTTTTAGATTCAGTGTGTTTTATACGCTTTAGATTCAAATTTTATCTGTAGTAAATGTAGCTAACAGTTATAAATTGAAATTTAAAGTTTTAATAACAGACCAATTTTTAAAATTAAAGATTTTATAAAAAATAAAATTAAGAGATTCGTATGTTAATTTAAAATCGAGAAGGGTTAAAAAAAATAAATTTAATTACACTACTGTAATTTTAGTACACTACTAATACAAATATTTTTACATTGCTAATTAATTAGAATACATCATGCGTATGAGAATTCTATATCAGTTATTACAAAATATTAACAATTATTGTTAATATGACAATTCATGATTAAATGACAGTGTAAAAAATGTTTACATTATCAGTATATTTAAATTAATTTTTTATATATAAAGTATTTAGAAGTTTAAGTGTTTTTTTAAGTAACATAAAAAACACTATATGTAGTAAATAAACTTTTTCAGTGTTATGAATTTTGTTAAAATGCATGCCTTGTTAGACACGTTCCAAATCGATATATCAGTGAATTGATAAATGAAATTATCATTTCAGTGGAATTTTGATATTACTAATTTGTAGAATAATTTATGAATGTTTACTAAATTTAATTTCTAGGTCAGTTGGGGGATAGTCAAAGAGCATGGAATACTAAAAGACAAGTTAACTCCCAAGCGTCAGATTTTACTTGGAAGGATGTGCAGCATGAAACATGTGATCAGTGACATTGAATAGAGTTAGGACTTAGGATTGTCAATTTGGTGAAACTCATCAGCAAGCTCATTTGCTTTCATAGGTTTGCTCAAGTGTTTTAATAGAGTCAGCCTTTTCGTTTTAAATTACTTAAGTATAAATTTTATTCGATTTAAAAGTTAATTCCCGTATTTAATATTCACCACTCTGACTAAATCGGTAGCTTTTTAAAAATTAATAAAAGCTTTTTTTTTATATAAACATTTTAATATAAATTCTTTAAAAAGTCATAATTATCTCATACTCCAGAGTGGAATACAGGATATGTTGCTAACAAAATTTATTTGAAAATTTGAAGAAAAAAGAAAATAAAGAGTTTAAAGAGTAAACAAGTAAAAAAGAGGGAAAAGAAAAAAGGTTATTATCAAATAAGAGCATATTTGTTTCATTTTTAATTTTTTTTAAAAATATTTATATAATTTTGGATAACTTCAATATTTATAGATGTGTAATTGATTATTGGACATTTACTTATATTTAAAACACCATATTCATCTCGTATTGCAATTTTGCATATTCTTAAATATATGTACATCTTCCATTTTATTATCTGCATTAATTTTTATGTTACATAAAATTTATAGACTTAATTTATTGTATGAAAACTTTTTATACGATGATTTGATAATAAAATAATGAAAATGATTAAAAGTAAAAACTTTCGTTTTTTAGTACAGAAGTGTTAACCTTCTTTATTTATTTTTGGTCTGAGAAGTGCAACCTTGTGAAAACAAAACTGAACTAGACCAACCCAAACTACTGGAACATAAGTCCATATCTTTGAGTTTTTGGTCAATTTGAAATACATGTCTATATCCCTATAGACCAAACAACTAGTCCGGCCTCGAAATTCAGGCCCAAAATGTTTATGGATCAGTTCAGTTCTCATTTTCGGACAAGGCATCTTTGCATGTTTATCCTCTTTTTGTCCAATTAATATTTTTATCTTTCAGTAATGTTTGGGTTGTTTAGGCTTTTTGGGCCTTGTCCTTCGGGTCTGTTTCACTTAAAAAACAATAATAGTCATGACAAAAAAAAGTAAAAATAAAGGTAGCACGGGGATTTACTCAGATTAATCAAATGTTGGTGTCAGGACTCAGGACAATAGTAGTAAAAGAAGTTTTAAATATTTTAACTTAATTTATGAAAATAATTTTGAGAAGATAAAAACCAGTTTATGAATAACATTAAATCCAAATTATTTTGATTTAATAAAAAACTAACATAAATTTAATAAAAACTGATGATTTTATTTAATTTTAAAACACGATTAATTTACTAGTTACCGACGTAATAAGAGTTTGATAAGTGTCGCCAATTATAGTCTACGAATACAACAACAGCTTATCCTTAAACCCCTAAACCCTATAAAATACAATGGACCATAATTGACCAAACCTTAACCTGGTTGCTACATGCTCCATCTCTTCTCCATGGCCATCGCTTCCTTAAGATTCGCTTGCAAACCCAATCTTCATCTTCGCTCCGCTCCATTCCAATGCATTCGCAAGGTTTCTCAATGTTTTAATCTCTCACTCATCATTATCACCGTTCATTTTTTTTTCTTTCCCTCTTTCAATTTCGTTTTTTTATATAATTTCCCCAGGTTGTGCCTAAAACTGTTCCTTCGGTTGAGGCAGAGAAATGTAGTGGCTCAAGTGGTGAACAAGGCAAGTTAAATTGGGAATTTTGAATTGGGGTTTTATGTTGCTTCATTGAGGTTGGTGATTCTAAAATCATCTTTGTTTTGGTGTATTGAGTTGATGAAGAAGATAAGAAGGCACCGGCGTGGAAGAAGTTGAATTCCAAAGAGCTTGGACTTCGAAATTCCATGATAGCGAATCCAACTAAAAAGGTTCTCAACATGTTGAAGAAAAAGGGTATGTGTGTATGTGGAAGGAAGAAAGAAAGAGCATTTCCTTGATTTTGTGTTTACATTGTGGAATAAGAGCATACTGATTCTGTGTATTAGGTTGGGTTGAACTGTTTGTGAGATATATTCTTATCACTCTGAAGAACCAGCCTATCACTTGTATTTGAAAGAGATATTAATTTTTCACTTACGAATTTTGGTATCAAATCATTCAATGTGGAAAAAAGAATCGGGATATAGTTTGTTCCTCCTGAACATCTACCCAGCCCATGCACATAATCTGTGATTTATTTGGCAACCACTTAATTGTGACTATAGAAAGCCTATTTTGCTTGAGCTTGTCCAATAAAAGCCAATCATTTAACAAGAATAGGGCGTTGTTTTGTCTACCTTATTGCTTGATTTTTGTTTTACTGCTCTCAAGCTATTGGAGCTATCAAATGTTTTCATTTAAAACCGATTATGGGCCCGGGAATATTAATTAATCTTTACGTTGTGGTATAAGTCTTTCAGTGTGCATCATTTAAGAATAAGATTCCACGGTTTCTATGTTTGTTTGCAAGGTTAGGAAGGGAAATGCATGATTGATAACGCCTTTTTCTTCTACTTCTAGGGCATGATGTATACCTTGTAGGAGGTTGTGTTCGGGATCTTATACTAAAGCAAACACCAAAAGACTTTGATGTTATAACTTCAGCAGATCTTAAAGAGGTTATCTTTATTTCCTATTTCTATTTTATTTTCAAACTGTTGATGTACATGCTGCTCAACTCTGTATATCAAGAGATAAGTTATAAGCAGTTAGAAGGGCAACCAGTGTTTCTGTATTGACATCTGGTGTTTTGTAACATGCGGATTTTCCATAAAAGTTAATTTACGCAATCTCATTTCAGTCATTTGAAAATTTAAATTTCTATTATGGGCCTGTTGTCTTCTGACCTTAACTTTGTATGGTGAACCTTGACCCAATTTGTAGGTGACGAGAACATTTTCATGGTGTGAGATAGTGGGTAAAAGGTTCCCTATATGTCATGTTCATATGGAGGGTACCATTGTTGAGGTTGGTATATTTCTGTTTTGCTTGAAAACTTTTACTTTTCATAAGAACTATCTTTGTTTGGGTGATTGCTATAGTTTTTCCCTATTAAGGGCTGTCTTCCTTTTAAAATCTGTTTTTCATGATAATTTTATTCTCCCTTCTAATTAGGTTTCAAGTTTTAATACTGCTAGATACAAGTCAAGTAAGCGCTTCACTCATGATTTAGAGACACCTAATGACTGTGATAGGGAGGACTATCTTCGCTGGAGGAATTGTTTGAAACGAGACTTTACAATTAATGGGTTGTGCACCTGTTCTTGCCACTTTACAAATAGAATTATGTTAATTTTTTCTCTTCATTTGGCTGCAAATGTGTTTTCTATGACATCCCCACTTTTATATAATGCATCTCTTTATGCTGTTAACCAAATTCACACTCTTCCAGGTTGATGTTCGATCCATATGCAAGAATTGTATACGATTACATGGGAGGAATGGAAGATATTATAAAAGCTAAAGTGTGCATGTATCTCTTTGAAGCTATTTTTTCCTATATTACTTTTTCTAATCAGCAATTTGAACTTATATAACTTAATTTATGTGAATAGGTGCGAACTATGGTTCCTGCAGCTGCTTCTTTTCAGGAGGATTGTGGTGAGTTTGTGTTGAGGGAGTAACGATGTGAAAAAAAAAAAAAAAAAAACTACACTCCCATTTCCCATATGTAGGATAGGACTGTCTGATTCTATTTGTTTTCTGCAGCTCGCATTCTACGTGCAATTCGGATTGCTGCTCGCTTGGGGTTTAGTATTTCAAGGGAAACTGCTCAATCTCTTAAAAATCTTTCATATTCAGTGTTAAGACTAGATAAGGTATTTAAAGTGTTCTTCGTCTCTCCTTTATTATACTTTATTATATGCACACATCTGGATATCCTGGCTTACTTTCCCCTGTTTAACTGTTTTAGGGTAGGCTTCTTATGGAAATAAATTATATGCTAGCTTATGGATCTGGTGAAGCTTCTTTGAGGCTATTGTGGAGATTTGGACTTCTTGATATACTTCTCCCCTTTCAGGTAGGTGATGATTCTCCATTTTGTTCTCTAAAATTCAGTCATGGAATGCTAGCTTAATTCATATTTGACATTACAGGCTGCTTATTTTGTTCGCCATGGATTTCGGAGACGAGACAAAAGAACCAATATGCTTTTGGTAACTCCATTCCTCTTAATGAAGTTTAGACTTTTAAAACTTGCTGGATTTTTGACTGACCTATTGGCATTAGTCTAGTGAGAATAGTATACATGAGACAAATTTCCAAAACTAACCCAGAGCATTTTGGTTATCCTTTCTACCAAGTTGTGCGTTAGAACAAGTTTCTGTTTGGAAACTAATATGATTCTTTCTTCCTTCCCTGCTTATATGTTAATCCTTGCATATAACTATAAAACTAGAACATGCAACATGCTGAGTTGCATATAACTATTTATTTTTAGGGTATGAACCGTTAAAGATATCCTAATGGAAGGGGTGGGGATTTTTTTGTTTTTTAATTTGAATATGGCTTATTAGATTATCTCAGGATATTTATGTGTTACTAGAGGATTAATTTGAATACATAAATTTTAGCACCTTGTTTGCACATTTTTATTGGATGTTTTGGAATTTCATCTGCAGTCTTTCTTCTCCAATTTGGATAAACTTTTGGCACCAAACCATCCATGTCATTGCAGCTTATGGTAAGATCTGTGCTACAGCATGGCCTGTTTTATTTGTTAGCAATATGTGATAACCCCAATGTGTAATGCTGGAAAAATTAGATTTATTAGTATCAGTCAGACCGGTAAATGAACTTTCTTTAAAAATCTTGTCCTAGGATGGCACATCCATGAAGACATGAATGAAGTTTGAAAGCTTTTTTTCCCTTCCTATTTCAGTGGAAATGTCTCAGAATGAACTTATTTCCCCCACTCTTGTACTGAAGCAAGTGTTTAATATGCTCCAGTTTTCTTGATTTATGAAACAGTTCAAGTTATGAAACTATCCTGATGCTATTGCTTCTTTGAACATTTCCAGTGCCTATGAATGCAATGGAATCCCCTATATTATTTTTGCATGATCTTTGCGCAATTATTTTTTTGGCATCATCAATCGGGTCTAGAACCTTGAGAGGGTTCAGGGGTAATAGGAACAAAGAAGATTCTTTCCTCCCAAAAAAGATATCCTACATGGGATGAAACCGAATATCTCATATATTCCTTTCTTAAAGAGATATTGTTGGAACATTTGGGTAAATGCTTATAGTCATCTATGCCATCTTTTGCCTTAGGAGGTTCTTATCTGATTCTTATATTGAAATTGTTTCTTAATGTCATTGGATTTGAGTATTAGAAGGAAAGGCTTTGCACCTGTATCTAGGAAACATTTTCTATATCATTGCTGAATCATTTTTAATTTTCTTTTCATAAAGACTCAAGGAATCTTTGCTTTCAGGGTTTCTATCCTTGCATTACATTTAACATTGAGTGATAAACCAAGGGGTTCCTCGGTGGTTGCTGCATTTAGCCTTGCACTCCATAATGGTGGAAATTTATCAGAAGCAATAGACATAGCTAAGAGGATTAACAAACCATGTGATGCCAGATTTCCTGAATTATTAGATCCTTCTGGTCTGGATGAACAGGCTTTGGAAGATGAGATTCTTGATCTTGCAGAGTCTGTTAAACAGTCTCTGTTGCATATGACAACTAGGCATTTGATATCCGGGGCCATGATTGACTATCCTCAAGCTCCTCATTCAGATCTGGTGAGCTTTGTTTTTCCTAGATTTTGTACATGCTTCTGGACATTGCTATCCAAAAGATGGATTGTGCTAGGATATTGTAGAACCCAATCAGTCACTCTCCCATAAAAAAGAAACTTATATTCTTTTGCCACAATCCCACAAATAGCACACATACATGTGTATGCAAGCCATCAGCAAGCATGCAAAGAAATTTAGGATAATAAATGTTAACCTAGTGACACAATTGTTACCAATGCAGCTGTTGAATTAACTTGTGAGAAATTGAATTATATAACTGGAAAATTAAACTATTTTGTTTGCAATTCTTTGTTTGACGATATATGATGATGGTTGACAATTCTATTTAACATATTAATCAGATGTTTGAAGTATGCTAACTTCATTATTGTATAGGAATCTAGGATTACTCTGTTGTATATCTTGGTTAATGAATCCCGATTAACATCATTTGTCTTTAAATCGTTGACAATTTGACAGGTGCTCATCCCATTAGCAATGTACATTAAAGCTCTAAGCATTTTTGACTGTGTGAAAGTCAGTGCTGGTAAGCAAATTTTATCAAAGCAAGGTAGGAAAATTGATTATGAGTCCTTAGCTCATGGTGATCTGCAAGAAGTACGGCACGTGCTTGCAAGGATTGTATTTGATACGGTATATCCACTACGCCTTGATTGATTCCTCCAACAGGAGCAATGGATTTTCCCGAGGCTGGTTTGAAGTTTGATTATAAATTGTGAGAAAATTGATGCTGGAGTAGGCATTCTATCAAGGGTAATGGTCGTTCAAAATTGGAATAAAGTGTGGTGAAGGTCTAGTGTCAGCATTTGACATTCGAGAGTGGTACTTAAAGGAATTATCATGAACATTGTCGTGAGCCAGTGACAGCTTCCTAGGTGGGACTTATCATGCTATGCAATGTGCCTAACTTGTAGGCTTTAAAATAGCCAGCGGATAAAGGAGAGAAAAACATTTCCAACCCCCCAAAAAGATTTTTCCCCTTGTCTTTTTGATTCCAAAGTGTTTTTATATAATGGTTATATAAAGTATTTTTTTTAATCAAATATCAACCTTAATTTCAGATGCCCAAGTCATTGAATTACCAAAAAAGTCGGCAATATTTCATTTTTTAATTCACGAAATTAACATAAAGAGGGATGAGAACAGGAATGTTGGAATGACCCATGCAACAAAGTTGCTTTTCATCCTTTTCTTTTACTGGAAAACATTGCTTTTCCATCCATTTATATAAGGTGAGAATTCTTAAAACTATGTGCAAGACATTTTCTTTTTACACTGTATCATTGAACCTATGTTTTTAGTTGCATTGGTTATTATTATATTTGTAATATATACATGATTGATTATTAGCATTAGAAATATTAAATTTTGATTAAAGTAGAAAACAAAGGTGATTGGTGTTGTTTACACTCTACCTAGAACATGTTCAATGTAAAAAACATTGTTTTAAAAATGACTAAACTCTTATTTTGGGCTTTGAAAAAGTTTGCTTTTTGCATTATAGTCTCTAAAAGATTAAAAATATCAAATCAGTCATTGATTTTCATTTCTGTCGAGTATTTAAGTCTTTAAATTCAGATGCTATTAATAGATAATAACGGAATGCTGATATGTTATGTTAAGTGACATGTGCTATTGCTTATGTGGTAAAATAATGTTGACATGTCATGTTATGTGTCACATGTTATTAATTAAGTGTCAAAACATTGTCTTATGAGATATAATATATGTTTTTGTTTTATTTTAGTCTTTAAAATTATAACTTGTTTGACATTTTAATCCTTGAGATTGTTATTGACAAACATTTTAGTCATTGAAATTATAACTTGTTACTTTTTAGATTTGTTTTGCATTTTTTTTCATTTTTTTTTTATATCCTCTTTAGCTTCTTCTTGTGGGGATGTGATTACACATTCTTATTTTTGTAGCTTTCTTTTGTATATATGCATGCATTCATATCCAATATTTAGGTTTCACTTGAATATAAAATCTGGAGTTATAAGTGATGAAGTTGTTATTTGTGTGAGCGCAATTTATTACATAGGTGTGACTTGAAGATGATGCGGTGGGTTCTGAACAGCAACGACTAGTTTTAATAATGTTGCAGTTTATAAGGAGTTAGGATAATGACAAATGTTTCAACATAACTTTTCTATCATTTGACAAGTGCAAGAATTTCAATTCCTCTTCCTATCTTTTCCCTTTCTTGCAAAGCCACTAACCATCTTGCAAATGCAGTTTCACATGAACTTTCTCTATTATCTTTTTCACCAAATCCTCTTTCGATAGAATCTCAACCATCCTTCACTTTCTCTCTCTTAAGGGACTAAAATGCTCGACTAGTTATAATTAAAGGATTAAAATGAAACAAAATTATATATTATATCACATACGACATTATTTTTGTCAAGTAATCAATGACGTGTTACATAACTTGACACATCAACGTCATTTTGCTCTGTAAGCAATGACACGTATCACTTAACATGACATGTCAATATTTTGTTACTGTTCATTAACGACATTTGGATTTAGAGACTTAAATACCCAATAGAGATAAAAGTCATGGACTAATTTGACATTTTTATTTATTTAGAAACTAAAATGTAAGATGCAAACTCTTTTGAAGATAAAACAAGAGTTTAATCTTTTAAAAATTAGATTAGATTGGCCGATTCTGTTGAAAATTTGATAAGACACAGATTCAGACAACTTACATAATTGGAGAAGAAAATTTGTTAACAATTGGGTACTAAAGGTGGTGTTGAACGACTTTGAACAGATTTTTTTTTTTTTTTTGGAAAAATGGTGGTTTTTGCTTTTGCTAAATAAATAATTTTAAAATATTTCAAAAATAAATAAGGGGTCATGCATGGATATATTAATGAATTACTATTAACCTATTTATTAATTTTTTTTATCTTATACATTATGTAATATTTTCTTTTAATGGTTTTTTTTTAAAAATTTATATTAATTTTTTATTCAGTATATCATATAATATTAAAACTTATATTTATTTATCATTGGTTTGATCCATATTCAAATCGTAAACTGATTATATCGTATATAGTTAAGAATCTATCTTCCATATAGACTAGTTTCTTTTTTCTTTTCTTTCATAAAATGGCAACCCGCATAGGTATCCTTTATTTGTTGAGATATTTTTGCATAAAGTTCTTGCGATGGACCAGTAAGATCGATTAAAGTCGAGCAATTTTTACATTCCATAAAGCATAATTTGTTCCTTTGGTGGGAACAAGATTTTATATACAGGATTCGGTGGCGGGGCTTTACAGGTTATTTTGAAGGGGGCAAAATAATTAGTTGATATAGTCAAAATTTTAAAAGAATACAAACTAGCTACACACGCATGCATAAATTTTACTATCGTTAAACCATTAACACAAAAATAACTACAAAATTACAAAAATTCAAATGTTTGACATCATCAATAATTATATCTAAATTGAAGTTTTCAACTACTTTTTTAATACAAAAATGACTATTTATTTGCAAGAAATTTATCTATTCATCTTTTTTTCCTATAATTTGAAAATTTGTTAATGTTTAGACCTAGCAATAAACTGGAAAGAAAATTTAGTTTAATCTAAAAAGTTTAATCTCAATTTATTGAAAGAAACTGTTAGTACAAAATGTATGTACCTGCTGCTACAATACTCTGCCACTGAATGTATTTCTTGTTTTGAAAGTAGTGGGGAAGGAGTAAGAAAATCAGAACTCATAGGGCAAAATATATTATATGTATGGTGTTGCTCTGGTAAGGCAGGCATTAACACCCTAACATTATTTGTGTAAAAAAAAACCTCTCTTCTGCATAGCCAAGCATGTGTGTCTGTGTGGTTTCTACTTCACAGGTGCTGGTGCAGGAGCACTTCCACCACTAGTAGGCCTGAAAAACCAAACATCAAAGTGATTATCAGAAACTTCGGACATGTGATGTCACATCGTACATCATGGATCAACTGTTTGATGAAACCAGTAGATAGAAGCAGCCACTTACAGCCCCACAAATACTTTAAATGAATCATAGAGTCCCCACTGGGCTCCAGTTAGTGTTCCAATCATTACTATACGAAGAGGAAGGCCACGAGTGAAAAGACCCACAAGCCCGATCTTCTTCACAGCCTGCAAAATCAACAGTTACAAGACTCAATTTAGCATTACACAGAAGATGGTGAGTGAGTGCTGTGTTTGTTGTTACTATATACTCACATCACCAACAGTGGCTCCCTTGGCATTGTTGAGAAAGGAAACAAGGTTATCAGCAGGGTGTGAGACAATTGCACATAGTACACCTGCTATGTATCCTGCTGCAAAACTGACTCCAAGTTGCAAATTTTTGCTGCACTTTTCTTTAGGAGTTGGGATGACATTTTTGTATATCATTTCCACAACCGTCTCAAAGGAAGCAAATTTCATCATTGTGTCTGATAGGAGCCAAAAGTGTAAGAAAAAAGAGCAGAAAAAGAAAAGATATAACATATTGGCAAAATGCAAGTTAATGTTGCATAATATAGTCATGATGTTTTGCATCCCACAGAAGTGTAATGTGTATGTAGACACAAAAAATACAGACATGACTAAGAGAAATATTAGTGTTTATTTTCTTCCATAACAACAACCAAAGGCGAAATGGAAAAACCAATTTAAGGCATCATCCATTCATCCCATGCAACTTTCTAGACACTAATTATTGGAGAGAATACTAGGTTACTCTTTCTATAGTGCTAAAAATGTTATAGACTATTCATGCGATCATACCAACCAGAGATTGGACAAACATATGGAGTAGTTTTAACTTACATGGAATTTGACGTCCCCAAAGAGGAACGAGTCCTTTATACAACCTATATATACACATATCAATCATATCAAATTCTGATCGAAGTTGGAGATTGCGAAGTCTTAAAACACTGATACATGATAAAAAAGCAAAAACAAAATAATAGAGATAATTAAGGATCAACAACCATACCCAGAAGCACCCTCAGCCTTGATAAACTTGGGTAACCCATCTGACAAACCTCGAGCATAGCCAGGTTGAGTTTGTACACGAACTTTGACTGCCTCCATGGGGCAAAGTACAACATCGGCAATAACTTCTGCTGAGGCAGAACCAGCTAAATATATGAGTGTTTTGTACTTGGCTGCATTCTCAGGTCCTGCAAGATCTGAGTAATACTTCTTGAAGAACTCATAAAATCCAAACTTGCATGCTCCCTGAGCACTGTATCCAAGCAAAGTAGGCACCCATCCCCTGAAGAAACCCTTAGCTCCTTGCTCCTTCAACAAAACTCCAAATCCTGATGTGATGCTCTTGTACTTTACAGGGTCAATCTGAAATTAAGACCAAACATTAATTTGTATATAAATTTAAGTTCTGCTCATACTTCACGCCACTTATGCTAAGCATATGATATGATTTTGAAAAGAAAAAAAAAAGATTGAATGTTGTGATTCAGTTAAAAAAAATAATTAAGAAAAAAAGGTGAAGAGAGTCATGTTCATATGCGAAATCTGGCACAACACAATCACATTGATCATAGAATTGATAAAGTATGGCACTAGAATTGAGATTTTCTTTTCACATTACTTTGAAAAAGCCAAAAACTTTTGGATACAAACTTGAGGTAGCATAATATTAAGAGAATAATTTAGAAACTGGACGTAAAATTGTATACAATTATTTCTCTCTCTCTCTCTCTCTCTCTCTCTCTATATATATATATATGTATGTATCTTTTTTGTATGTATGCACGTATAAAAAAAATATTCCCCAAAGTCAAAGGGAACAAATTTTGGTTGGTCATCAAACATTTTCCTTAGAAATTAGAGTTCATATGAAACACGATTCATAGTACCATTTTCTTTTGAAGTTTTTCATATATATCTTTCCTAAGAGACAATTTTGTTCGATGTAGATGAAGAAACAAATCCTAATTTCTATTACATGCAACTCCTACTGGCATGTGGAAGCCACAAAGAGTTGGGAGGAACCATTTAAGGGGGTAACTGTTTTACTCTATTTCCCCCCTCTTTCATTAGACTCAAAGACTATCTTATTTTAAGGAAAACCAAGCTTTCCTTGTGACTAAGACCAACCGTCTCATTAGTATTCATTGCACCATTTGGAAAAACATCCATATAAAATGGTAGATAGACAAATAGTAGAATGAATGAAAGTGAGTTATGGAAAGGAAAGAGAAGAACCTGCATGTTGCACTTGACAAGATCAAGAGGAGTGACGGCCATGTGGGTGAGGCCACAACTGAAGACGCCACCAGCACTGCATGCAGCGTAGTAAGCAGGAGAAAACATGCGGATTCTCTCCTTGGGTGCATGGATCATGGGTGGTGATGATGTTGATGAATGTGATATAATGGAAGATGATGACAACCCATGATTGGTTTTATCCAAAAGGGAGAGTGCATTTGATGAATACAAGAATGAAGGGACAAGAGAGTGGTCAGAGGGAGCCATTGAGAATGGAGAAGAACAAGAGAGTTGGTGTGTGTGTGTGTGTGTTATGTGTGTCTAACTTCGTTTATGTACGTAGGAAAGTAGAAAATAAAATGTTGTTTGAATGCAAGAAAAAGGAGGCGACAAAAAGGGTGGTTTGTGGTTAGGAAATGAAGAGAGGATGAATATTGAATTTGCATAATGCATGTGATCTTCTCATCTCCCTAATTTTCGTGCTCTCTCATGGAGAACCCTTTGACTCTAACGCCTTCAATTTCTTGTCACTACAATTACGTTTCTTTTTCTCTACAAAATTAAATAATATAAAATTTGTGTAGTTGTTTAAGCATCGTTTCTATTATTTTAAAATTTTATTTTGATAATATTAAATGTATATTTTTTTTATCAAAGTAAAATTTTGATTTTAATTAAAAATAGGATATAAAATATTAATAGAATTGTAACTAAATTTTATCGAATAAAATAATCTTTTATAATATATTTGGTTCAATGGAGAAAAAAAAGAGAGGAAAGGAGATGATTTTTAATTGAGAAATAACAATTAAAATTCCTTGTTTGGTTTGATTTAAAGAAAAGGGTGGAGACTATTATAACTTTTTTTTTCCTTTTATTTGGTGGGTAAGGAGATGGAAGAAAAAAAAAGTTACTGACTTACTGTTATTCCTTATGGCATAATTATAAACAAAATAATTTTAATAAATTATTTAACAAAACACTGTAAGAGAAACTTTTATTCTTAGTCTCATACCATTCTTATTCATTGTTTGATAAGGTTGTAATTCACACCATAATTAGTTCTTAAAGCATTTATGATTTATCTATGTAATGGATTGTTTATTGTATCTAAATATATTATTATTTTTTATGTCACTCGTTTTTCTCTTCACATCACTTCTTTTTTTATTTTTTTATTTTTAAAAATTTATTTTCTAACATAAATTCTAAAAATTCAACTTTCCATTTCTCCAATAAAAACAATCAAAATGTTTTTCAGTGGCATTTGTACCAATTTTGTTCCTTCTGCGTAGCAATCCTCAAAATCGAAGTTTGTGTAACATTTAGTACTTTTCTTAAAAATAACTTTTAAACCTTGTTTATCTGATAAACTTATCACACATATAAAATAGGATAATCCAAAGTTTAATTCCACAAGTCACATCACCCTAACATGGTACGTTGCATTGCACTTGTTTTCATTTCAATGGAAAAAACGTGCATTGCTAAATTGGGCTTCATCATCAGTAACTAACTGATAAATGCCACGTAATTTTTGGATAGAATATTTGATTCCAAGAGCAATGTGCACCACTCGTTCATTCACATCTCTGATCACCCATAGCCACAGGCCACAAGAATTAAGATTATGCTAATTCCTAAATGACACTTTCTAAGTTACATGGATTTACTTTCCAACTAAGCACAACCATTACACTACTTTGTTGGGCCAAGTATCAAACACTTTCCACTTCATTAACCCAATCCCTATCTCTTATTCCTCTCTCTCTCTCCACCCTTTACCTTAGCTTCAATGGCCTCTGTTTCAGCCACTTTTCTCAGCTTCCAACACTCTTTCAAGCTCTCTACAATCACTAGCCAGGTTCGAAATCCCTCTCTCTTAATGCATACCCTTATTATTTTTAAAGAGAAAAAAGTTAAATTTTTAATATTTAAGTAAAGAAAAATATAGAAAAAGAAAAAATAATTAATTTTTTTTCTCATCCAAACAAATGTTATGCATGCGGCCATGTATCTGTTCACAATGGAGGGCACGAGTGTCAAAAGACTCTGTTGTTATAAATACTTAACAATTTATAGCATCCAAGAAAACTTACTTTCGGTGATTTTACAACTGAAAACAAACACATTTGTCTCTAACACTTCAATAGATTCATGTGCTTTGGAAAATGATGATGCCGTTTTGGTACGAGGGTAAAAGCACGAAATTACTTGAATGAAGTTTCACAATCAGAATGTACCTGTGAAACTTTCCTTGTGCACAAGTGCAAGACAGTGATAGAGATAATATAGGTACAGTTGCGAGCAATAGGAGCTACAGTGTATGAATTAAAAATAGGCAATAAATGCCTAAGAATAAGAGACTCCAACTTTTGTTTGGGGAACTATAAATTAGAAAGAAGAATGATAGAATATAATGTAGTATCTATTAGATATAAAGATGACTTAATACTGTGATCAAAGTCTTAAACCACGTGGAATTCTTCTTAATCAGCATCATCTAGGTAATACAATAGTTTTAACTAAGGATACATAAGATAAGGTACATTGAATATATTCTATTAAAAATTATAATTATTTTTAAAAAGTATATATCAGATCCAATGTATAAAAAAAAATTCCAATGTCTTTTGCTATTATAACATTCCTAACCACGATTTTTTTCTAAGTATTTAATTTAACTTTGAAATAAGAAATTGTATTGATGACTTATATTTTCTTTATTTTTACTACATACTTTTATACTTTTGTATGTCTATTAATCAATGACTTATTGTATGTCCTTAGCATTTTCCCTCTAATTATAACCTTATAAGGTAACTTAACAGTAAAAAAAAAAAAAACTTGATTTGGGTGATTAACAAATGCAGGCTTCTTACAGAACTTCAAGTTTGGGGACAGTTTCTATGGAATGGGGTAGAAGGAGTTTTCCTTCTTTGAGATCTTCCCGTTTTTGCATTTGTGCAGTAAGTTTAATTCCCTTCTAAACAGTAAATACTTTTTATCCCTCTCAAAACTTGCACTAACTGAAATTAACTTTGAATATTGTCAACTAACTAGGTCCAGGCACAACCTGAGACAATGCAGAAGGTGTGTGAGATTGTGAGGAAACAACTTGCTCTTACCCCCGAAACTGAGCTTACCCCAAAAACCAAGTTTTCAGAACTTGGTGCTGATTCCCTTGACACTGTAAGATCCAAATTTATCATCAAGCATCATTGATCTTTAATTCTCATGGTCCATTTGGTTGATTACCTATAACAATACTATACTCATTTCAATAAAAATATGTCTAAAATTAATTTTAATATCAATTTTTTAAATGTGAATGATTTATATACTGTATTTTTATTAAAAATTATAAAATATTACAAAATGCAATGTATCAATAACATTAAGTATTATAATTTTTAATAAAATTTTCTAATTTATTATTTTCTTATCATGTATTTTTAGACACACATTATTAATATATATCCTAATTATTTTAACATTCAAATTAGTGTTATTAAAATTAATTTGACCTAACTTTAAAACATAATTTATGATGTGGCAGGTGGAAATAGTGATGAGTTTAGAGGAAGCGTTTGGCATAAGTGTTCAAGAAGATGGCTCTGAAAACATCACAACTGTTCAAGACGCGGCTGATTTAATAGAGAAGCTGGTTCAAGAGAAAGGTGAAGCTAATTAAGAAGGAAATTGCATGGAAAATGCAGAGTGAGTGCACAAGTGTAACTCAATGATGAGGTTAATCATTTTGCCAATTTACGTGGCCTTTTTTTGTGCTTGGGCGTATTCTTTAGGGAGTAAATTTTTCTTCTGTGACTCTTTTTAACTTACTATTTGTTTGAAATGGTGATAACAAAATCTTTCTTTTTATCTTCTTTGATTAAAAACAAAAGTGAAATTGATTCGAAGAATATCTTATTAAGAAAAAAATTATTAGATAATTCAAAATCATGTACTCTCGGCTATTAATATTATGCCATTGATAAATTTTATAAATTATAGAAAAAATATGAATATGAATGTGTGTCACAATATAAATAATTGGAATTACATGATTTTAGACTATCAAACAATCACTTACTCGGATTAAGCAAATTTACAAGTAATGATTACGTAACTTAGGCTATTATTAATTTTTGCACAGAATAATCCGAAATAAATTAAAGTCATATAATATGTTTTGGAAGTCATCATGCTCGCGTTTCACCATTGTTTGATTATAATTTTAAAGAAGGTATTTAGTTGAATTACTGGAGAAACTTAACGGACACTTAATAAGATGTAAATTTTGTCATTTTTAATTTATATCCTTTAAAGTAAAAGATTATATTATATCTTTTTAAATACAAGTATTTCCATTATTTTATAAATTAACATTTAATATTGTGATTATATTTGTATTTGCATAAAAAATTATAAATTTATTAAAATTCTAATCGTCAATAACACTTATAAAATAACAATTATGGTGTATTTACACAATATACAGATTTTTTTTTCACTTTTTGTGTACTGCTCATTTGTGTTATTAAGCTATCCGTTTTTTTTTAATATACTTCCCACATTTTAGCGAAATTATATCCGGTTTAACTAGTGTATTTGTCTTGTATTACTTTTTTTTTTTTAAATACCTAAATTTGATAAAAAAAATAATTATTTTGAAAATAAACTAAATCAAATACAAATTTAAAAATGTATAAAATGAAAAAATAAAGTTGGAAGAGAGAATTTTCAGCCGAAAATATACAGTGATCCGCGTCCAAACGTAGGAATTAATATTAATTAAAAATTAAAACTCCGAGCTTCAGGCAAAACGACATCGTTTTGAAGTTTCTGCGCCGCCAAAATGTTTTTTTGTCTGCGGTATGATAAAGAACGTCATGGGAGTTTCTTTAACATGTAAGCGTCGTCGTTTACTCTTATTGGACTCACTACAAAACTGAGACAGACCAGTAACCAAGAATGGAACAACCTCTCTGACTCCGTCTCTAACTCAATTTTTTCTTCCATTTTCTCGAGAAAATCTAACTCCCAGAAAATCTCTCTTCTCCTATACTCAAACACATTCGCAGTGTGAACTGATGGATCGAAGAAGAACTGAGAGTTCAGTGTACCCGCTGCAGTGGAGCGGTTCAAGCATCGCCGGCTCATCGTCGCCGGCGATGTCTCCGGCTCACCCTCACTCGCGGCCGGCTCCCGATTCTACCGTCAAGCAGCAAAACATAACCACCAAAGCAGCCGCGCAGCGTCTCGCTCTGGTCATGGCGTCTCAAATGGTCGACAACGACGGTGACGACGGTGATGACGATGATCTCGTGTTCCGGTCCAGTGCTCCTTCTTACTACAATACCATTAGAAACGGCAACGGTATTAGTTCCATTCCTCCGATTTCGGCCTCGAGGCCTAATAGATCTCCGTCTCCTGTGGTAATTCCCGCTGCGATTGTTTCTTACGCTGCATTTCTTTATCGTGCTTATTTTCTTAATTTCGCTTGTTCAATCGTCGAAGATGAATATGGTTGTTTGTCCGAATTTTTTCGTTGATCATTGACGTGTAATTTCGACGTGTTTTTGATTGGTTTGGAGTTATGAATATTCAATTCTTTCGATTGAATTGCTTTTGAATTTAAGTTTAGGCAGGTGGTGAAGCTTGAATTCAGTTATGCTGGTGATAGTAATATTTGGTGGATTCATGGTTAATTTTAATTGATGCTGTAAATGAAGATTGTAATTGAGTGTTGGCTATTATGGATTCTTCAATTGGTCTCTTTAGTTTTCTGATAGGCTAATATATTTTGATGTTTTTATTAGTTAGGTTGGAACGTTGCAGAGGATAATCATTCAGTACGATCAACATCAGCTGGAAGATCGGCAGTGTCTATGAGCTCACCAACAGTGGTGCAACCCCGTAAATCCACTCTTCAAATGCCAGTGGCTATACCTCCAATTGATCCTTCTACCAATAGAAGTAGAGGCAGGTGGTAACATGTTCTTTTCATTTCTTATGGTTTTGAAAGCTGAAGTAACACGGAATAAGTTTATGCCTTATGGCTAGTTTATCATAATTTGAAAGAACAAGGCTGCTGAAACTGTGTAACTCTAGAGGATCTGTAGTTCTAGACTTCTAGTGGCACCAACCTCTCTAACGGGTGGAGGTCCCAATCCCTAACTTATGGTCTTCATGTTGCATGTGTTCTAATGAATTTCACAAGGAGGTCAAATACATGGGCTCTTGTCTTTAAGCTGATCAATGTTACCCTTTTGATGTATATGTAATTTACGCCTTTTGATGTATGTCTATGAGCTCAACCCATATTTATTTATTAAAGTCGTACACCTATCTGTATCTTTGTGTCTGTGTATATAGTGATGCGTAAATTAATTCTAGTTTATCGGCCATGGTAATATTGGTGACTCATGCTTCTTTGAATTTAAATCACTTGTTACAAATTCAGGTTTCCATCAGGTATTAGGCAACTTAACTCAAAAGACACAGGCTATCAGCGTGAAGTTTCTGCACTACGAGATGAAGTATAATATTTATTTGCATTAATTTGTGTCTGAAAACTAAATCTGATGACTGGTTCTCCTTATATGCTATTTTGTGAGCTTTATTTGCATAGATTTTGCATTGTAATCCTCGAGGATTAGTTTTGAAGTTGATTCATATTGATATTGCAGATCGATATGTTGGAAGAAGAGAATGAAATTATAATAGAAAAGGTATGCTCCTTTTCACCCAAACAAAGCTGGGTTTTTTTACCATGTTATTTCATGCTGAATTGAACACACATGCCTGATATATTTACAGCTAAGACATGCAGAGAAAAGACGTGAGGAAGCAGAGGCTAGAGCAAGGGAGCTTGAGAAAAAGGTGAATCTTGCTAGATAGTAACTAAACTTTAAAACCTAATAAAGAGTAGTACCAATATCAACATCAGATTTTGAATTACTATACTTTTATGAGCAACAATGTGCAAATGTTGGAACTAAGATTACTGTATACCCATCGTTGTTTCTCCATATGTTGAGTTTGCTGATATCTATATCATTTTGCTTGTGGCAGGTTGCTTCTCTTGGTGAAGGTGTATCCCAGGAAGCCTTGAGAAGGTAAACTTGCTTTAAAGATCCTTCTCCTTTGGTTGAACTTCTCTCTTGGGATTATTATTATTATTATTATTATTATTATTATTATTATTTAATGGTATTTTTGCAGGAGAGAAGCTGCTTTGCGTCAAAGAGAGGTATGCTGAAATGGATATTCGATTCCACAGAAATATGAAATGATGATGATTGAAATTTCATGTTCTGTGATCCCCCAAGCTGAATAGCCTCCTATTAAGCTCTTCTAATTTTAATCTTGAAAAAAAGTCTTCCTGCTTTACCATGAAGCGCTATGTGCATATTTGTGTAAAGGACCACGAATAGGAGGTAGTTATGCAGCCAGTTACATGATGATCTCTAAAATTTTTTATACCTAAACCTCTGTACCCGGCAACAGATTTCCCCCCCTTCAATTGTAGGTTTTGAGCGACAAGCTCATCAATGCTAGTTCTTTGGAACTTAGTGTTCTGTTTTTGGACTAATTATTTATGTTACAGGTTGCTTTCAAGGCTGCAAAACAAACACAGGATCGGAGAGATGCAGATATGAAAGTCCTTCGTGTGGAAATTCGGGTGATTTAGAAGAATTACGAATTAATTTGTAATATATGACTGGTCTGCCATTTGTTCTCTGGTCTAAATTATAACTTGTCTTTTTACTACCAGAACCTAAAAGATGATGCTGCAGCAGCTATAGAACAACAGCAAGAAGCTGAAGCTGAAGTAAAGGCTCTGAATACAATGACACAGAGAATGATTTTTACCCAAGAAGAAATGGTTTGTGCTTTCCAAAAAAATGAAAACTAACAGGTATCTTTTTTGCCGTTAGTTTCAATTCATTTCGTGTCTGTATTTCAGGAGGTAGTTGTTCTAAAAAGATGCTGGCTTGCTCGCTACTGGGGTCTTGCAGTAAAACTTGGTACCAAATAGCTGTTGCTTTCTACTGTCTACAGACAAAGAAAACTTAGCATAGCATTTTTCTCAAAATCTCTGTTTGCCTATTAACGTTAGGATGCTTATAATTATTCTTCCTCGCTTTATAGGTATATGTGCAGATATAGCACTGTCCAAGCATGAATATTGGTCTTCTCTAGCTCCTCTTCCTTTTGAATTTGTCACTTCTTCTGGACAGAAGGCTAAGAAGGAATCTTGGAACAAAAGTGAGTGTATTGATACTCCAATTCATTTTGAATTTTTTCTCTTAAACCGTGAAGTCTAATTGAAGGGCATGAATCAGGTGCTGATGATTCAGATAGGAACAATCCTGTTCGTGATTTGAGTGATCTCACTGGGGAAGGAAACATCGAAAGCATGCTTTCTGTTGAGATGGGTTTGAGGGAGCTTTCTTCACTACAGGTTCTCCATCAATATTATTAAATTTAATGCTTTGTTTTTGTGTTCAGTTCTTTAATACCACAGACATTTAAGATAGGACAAAACATGTTAAGGCCTATAATTTTCTTTTCATAGCATGGAACATCAAGAAACCAAAATTTATTAATATCATGTGTTTGGTCGAAATTTGACGTCATTTTTTTCTTTTGGTTTTTGGGTGATCTATTCATCCTTTATCTTCCTCCTCGATGAATATTTTGACAAAATTTGATTGTTTATAGGTTGAGGATGCTGTTGTGCTTGCATTAGCCCAATATAGGAGCCCACATTTTATTCGGCAGTCCATTTCAGGTATATTAATTCATCATCTTGTATCATTAAATTTCAACTTTTGTACTTGTTAATCAAACTGGTATACACTATTCTTTCATTTGATCTGTGACTTTGTAGTCAACCAGCTGTTAGTGCTACTTTGCACCATACTAACTGATCTTGGTTAAGGTAGTGTTTAACTTTTATTGTGGTCATGTTGAACTGGGCTTATGTAAGTAGAATATGATTTTATTAATATTGTTCACATTTTTACTCATTTCTTTTTAGATTCCGCATCACTTGGTGATCCCGAATTTGTGGAAGCATTTGGTAAGCAATAATTTTTTTTGTGTTTAATCTGATTTGCTTTACTTTCCTTGAGCTTGTAAGAATACAAACCTGTAAAATATTGTGTGTATGTCTTGTACAAATGCATTGTTGGATTTCTCTACTTGTCTTTTATAATTCATATGTCGTTACATATTTTCTTAATCGCATCTCTAATCTCTGTATTTTTATCCTTTTATAAAGGGTAAGATGGGATTGACTTTAAGACAACATAAACGAGCTATTTCTTTTAGATATATGATGGCCGTGTGATCTATGTTGGACGATGGCACTTCTAATTGTAAATTTCACGGTTTATTATCATTTTCACTATCTATCAACGAAAAAAATGAAATCACCCCATGCCAACTACAAATGAAAAGAAATAAAAATGACAGTATTTCACCCAACCCCAGGTTTAACGTATACAGCAAAGCATGTGAAAAACTTAATTGGTCATATTATAAGGGCGTGTGACAGTAAAGACCTTTGAGTGGAGCGTGTAAAGCGTAAACCTATAAATTAAGGGTGCTTTTCTTTGGGATATAGGCTTCATGTATGAGGCCAATGTTCATATTTCTGTTTGGATTATTTTCACTTATGATTCATTTAATGTAGCTATCATGTGATTTTTGTACGATAGTAATTTTTTACTCGAATTTAATCACCCAATTTTAAATTGTTACTGTCTTTTCATTAGTTTCCCCTACCCAAAACCCAGAAATCCTCATTCTTTGCAAAAAAAATTGCCACAAACTTAACTGAGTGTTTCCATTTTAAATCTTCACCCCTCAAAACGCCTATCTTAACATTAGATTTCACTTAGAAAATCAGAGAATCCCAAATTTTCTCCCTCTTTGAAACCGTAACCTCACTTCATGTATCCCTCAAACTTAATCAAAATTTCACTAAATTTTTGGTTTTTAAACATTTCAAATCATTTCATAAACCTTCAAATATTTTTGTAGAAAACGAGAATTTGTGGGTTTTAGGTAGAGGACAATTGGCAGAAAGATTTGACTGTAACAATTAAAAAAATCAGGCGACTTGACTCAAGAATGTGTTTATTTGGGGACTATAGTGTAAGTGAGCCAGAGCCTTTATTTTCGTTAATATATTACATAGATAATACAGATGCGACCTTGATGATTCTTCGTTGATTTTCTGTTCTGGGTTTCATCCAGAGTTAAGTGACGAGGAAACAGAAGATGTTCTTTTCAAAGAGGTAAGTTGGCTTATACTTGGAAGATTCTGACATTTGACTCACTGTTCTTTGCCAAAGTTATGTAAAAGAAATAGCACATTCATATCTACTGGCAGTTGTCTCATGTTTAGAAGATGCAAAGAAGGAACAAGTTTTCTAAATCGGATACTCCTACAAAATTGCGCCTAATTGACTAGATAAAATCGGAAATATTTTATCTTGATGGAGCTTTGTTTTTGTTTGTTTTTACTCTTAGAATGACAATATTCAAGATGAAATCTTAAAAAACTGTGTTAGAAACATTATTTTTTATATACTGTTAGTCTTACATCATGTATAGCAAAAGTAAAAAATTGCTGCATATTTTGTCAAACTTTTGCATGTCTTTCGGTGGCATTTATTGTCGAAGGCTGAAGCTTTGCCTATAAATAGCAAGCTTCCTTCGTTCATTTTGTGCATCCAACACCATTGAGTGTAATCCTACTAGAAACAATACCTAGTATATAGGGAGAAAAATACAGAGAAATAAAATAGTATTCTCCTGTGAGGTGTTCCTAGTGAATGAGTTTTTCTTGTTTTTCAAGAGAGAGTGTCATTGTTCTCTCCTTGTAAATTAGAGAGAAAGTGTAATATTTCTTTCACTTAATAAAATTATTTCTCTGGTTTTACCTGTGGTTTTTCCCTTATTTGTTGAGGGTTTTCCACGTAAAATTATTGTGTTCAGTTCCTCTTTTCTCATCTCTATTTTAGCTGTGTGATATTACTTAGTTGCTCTGATACCTAACAGTGGTATCAGAGCCAATGGTTCGGTAGGATATTCTTAGTATGCTCTGTGGTTGCAGCTTAGTCTAATTTTTCACATCAGAAAAGATTAATTCCTTGTTGTTAGAAAATCATCCTTGATTGTTGACGCTGCAATACTATTTACAGTTACTATTCACGATGTGGTTGTATACTTTTACAGTGATTGTTAACGTATACTGGAATTATTCTGGTGCGCGGTAAAAATATACAATATTGTTCACGTATACTGTACTATTTACGGTAAATTTGTGTAAACCGGTTTAGTTAAAAATGACGGTGAAATTTGAGATTGAGAAATTCAGTGGGAGTAACTTCTCTCTGTGGAAATTGAAGATAAAGGCAATTTTGAGAAAGAAAAATTTGTTTAGCAGCAATTGAAGGTAGACCCGCCGACATTACCGATGAAAAGTGGAAAGAAATAGATAACAACGTTGTTTCTACCTTGCACTTAGCAATGACAGATTCAGTTTTGTCAAGCATTGCAGAAAAGGATACTGCAAAGGAGATCTGGGATACTCTCATCAAACTATATGAGGTGAAATCACTTCACAATAGAATATTTTTGAAGAGGAGGTTGTATACTTTTCGGATGAGTGAGTCCACATCAGTAACGGACTACATCAACAATCTGAATACGTTGTTTGCTCAGCTTACAGCGTCAAATTTCACAATACCAGAAAATGAGCGTGCCGAACTTCTGCTTCAGAGCTTACCAGATTCGTATGATCAACTCATCATCAATATAACAAATAATAATCTTGTTGGTTGCTTGCACTTTGATGATGTCGCTAGAGCCATTCTTGAAGAAGAATCCAGACGCAAAAATAAAGAAGATAGTAAAGAAAGTTCAAAGCAAGTGGAAGCCTTGACGATGACGAGAGGAAGATCAACGGAGCGTGGCCCCGGTGGGAGCCAGAATCATAGTAGATCAAAGTCCCGAAGATGGAAGAACTTTAAATGCTACAGTTGTGGCATGAAGCGGCACCTGAAGAAAGATTGTTGGTATAACAAGAAAAATCCAGAGAAGTCTTCTGGAGCAAGTACATCTCAAGGGTGTGTTGCTAGTACCTCTGATAATGGAGAAATCATGTATAGCGAAGCAGCAATCAGTTCTAAAGGAGGGAGACAACTCACTGATGTTTGGATAATGGATTCAGGAGCGACATGGCATATGACTCCACAACGAGACTGGTTTTGCACTTATGAGCCTATCTTGGAAGGATCTATGTACATGGAAAATGATAATGCCTTAGAAATTGCTGAAGTTGGTACTGTCAAATTGAAAATGTATGATGATACTATTTGCACAATTCAGGGAGTATGCCATGTGAAGGGATTGAAGAAAAATCTATTGTTTATAGGGCAATTAGATGACCTCGGTTGTAAGACCCATATTGAAGGTGAGATCTTGAAAGTGGTGAAAGGTGCTTTAGTAGTGATGAAAGCAGAGAAGATTACTGCTAATCTATACATGCTTCTAGGAGATACATTGCAGACAGCAGATGCATTAGTTGCTTCAACTAGTCAAGAAGAAATGACGATGATGTGGCATCATAAATTGGGCCATATGTCAGAACGTGGCTTGAAGATTCTTGCAGATCGCAATCTCCTTCATGAGCTCAAATTGGTAAATTTATCTTTTTGTGAGCATTGTGTGACTAGTAAGTAGCATAGATTGAAATTTAATAAGTCTACTACTAGAAGCAAACATATATTAGACTTGATTTATTATGATGTTTGGGAGTCACCAGAAATGTCCCTAGGAGGAGCAAAATATTTTGTATCTTTCATTGACGATCATTCCAGGAGATTATGGGTGTACCCAATCAAGAAGAAGTCTTATGTATTTCCAGTATTCAAGGAGTTCAAAGCACAAGTGGAGCTTGAAACTGGTAAGAAAATCAAGTGCTTGAGGACAGACAATGGAGGAGAATATACAAGTGGTGAATTTATTGCATTTTGTAAGCAAGAGAGTATTCAGAGGCAATTCACAGTGCCACATACACCTCAGCAGAATGGTGTAGCAGAGCGGATGAATAGAACTCTCCTGGAGAAGGCAAGAGCTATGTTGGAGACTGCGGGTCTAGCCAAGTCTTTCTGGACAGAAGCAGTCAAAACTGTCTGTTACTTGATAAATAGGTCACCATCAACTGCTATTGGTCTTAAGACGCCAATGGAGGTGTGGAAAGGAAAGCTAGCAAATTATTCTTCTCTACATGTATTTGGTTGTCCTGTGTATGTTATGTACAACACCCAGGAAAGAACAAAGCTAGATCCAAAATCCAAGAAATGTATATTCTTGGGTTATGCTGATGGTGTTAAGAGGTATCGCCTGTGGGATCCCACTGCCCGCAAGGTTATTGTCAGCAGAGATGTAATTTTTGCAGATAATGAACTGCAAGGTGAGTAGAAAAATGATAGCACTTCTAAAGAAGCTACTACTGTGCAGATAGATAGAAAGTCTGGAGAAGATGATTCTTCTGAAGCAGAACCAGAACACGAAGAACAAGAACCAGATAATGTTGATGATGGAGAAGTTCAAAAATCATCACGTCAGACAAGAAAACTATCTTGACACTCAGACTATGTGATGGCAAGCCACGATGCATATTGTCTTCTAACAGAAGAAGGAGAACCGTCAACATTTCAAGAGGCTGTGAGCAGTTCAGATGTTTCTCTGTGGATGGCAGCAATGCAGGAAGAAATGGAAGCCTTACATAGAAAAAAGACATGGAAACTTGTAACACTTCCAGAAGGTCGAAAAGCCATTGGAAACAAATGGGTTTACAAGATCAAACGAGATGGCAATAATCAAGTGGAGTGGTATCGTGCTAGACTAGTGGTCAAAGGATATGCTCAGAAAGAAGGCATTGATTTCAATGAGATTTTCTCTCCAGTGGTTAGACTTACCACTATCAGAGTAGTCCTAGCTATGTGTGCTACATTTGATTTATATCTTGAACAGTTAGATGTAAAGACTGTTTTTCTTCATGGAGAACTTGAAGAAGAAATATATATGTTCCAATCAGAAGGCTTTAAAGAACAAGGAAAAGAAAACTTGGTTTGCAGGTTAACCAAATCTCTGTATGGTCTAAAGCAGGCGCCAAGATGTTGGTACAAGATATTTGATTTCTTCATTATGAGCCTCAAATACAATAGACTGTGTTCAGACCATTGTACATACTACAAGAGGTTTGATGATGATACTTTTATCATTTTACTGTTGTATGTGGACGACATGTTGGTTGTAGGCCCCAACAAAGATCAAATCCAGAAATTGAAGGCACAATTGGCTAGGAAGTTTGATATGAAGGACTTGGGACCAGCAAACAAGATTTTAGGGATGCAAATTCACCGAGACAGAAAAGATAGGAAAGTTTGGCTCTCTCAGAAGAATTACTTATTGAAAGTTTTGTGGCGCTTCAACATGCAAGACTGTAAGCCAATTTCTACCTCTCTTCCTATCAATTATAAATTATCCTCAAATATGGGTCCTAGCAATGAAGCAGAGAGGATGGAAATATCTCGAGTACCGTATGCATCAGCGGTGGGAAGCCTTATGTATGCCATGATTTGTACTAGACTAGACATTGCACAAGTAGTGAGAACAGTCAGTAGATTCATGGCAGATCCTGGTAAAGAGCATTGGAATGCTGTAAAAAGAATCCTGAGATATGTTAAAGGAACCTCCAGTGCTGTATTATGTTTTGGAGGATTAGAGTTTATTGTCAGAGGATATGTTGATTCTGATTTTGCAGGTGATCTTGATAAAAGAAAATCTACTACAGGCTATGTGTTTACACTTGCAAGAGGAGCAGTAAGTTGGTTATCTAAATTACAATCTATTGTAGCTTTATCTACTACAGAAGCATAATACATGACAGCGACTCAGGCATGCAAGGAAGCAATCTAGATACAAAGATTATTGGAAGAACTCGAGCACAAGCAACCAAAGATTACAGTGTATTGTGACAATCAGAGTGCCTTGCACATTGTAAGAAATCCAGCTTTTCATTCCAGGACAAAACATATAGGAGTGCAATATCATTTTGTTCGAGAAGTAGTGAAGGAAGGAAGTGTGGATCTACAAAAGATTCATACAAAAGATAACCTAGCAGATGTTATGACAAAGTCAATCAATACTGACAAGTTTAAATGGTGCAGGTCCTCCTATGACCTATCAGAAACGTAATTGCAGCAGGAAATGGCAAGAAGAAAATTTTTTTTTTTGAAAAGATCACAAAAGTGACTTTAAGTGGGAGATGATTTTGGATTCAACATAAAATTGTAATGTGTGAAGATATGATTAGCTTAATCATAATCTTCAAGTGGGAGAATTGTTAGTCTTACATCATGTATAGCAAAAGTCAAAAATTGCTGCATGTTTTGTCAAAAACTTCTGCATGCCTTTCGGTGGCATTTATTGCTGGAAAAAGAAAGGCTGAAGCTTTGCATATAAATAGCAAGTTTCCTTCGTTCATTTTGTGCATCCAACACCATTGAGTGTAATCCTACTAGAAACAATACCTAGTATATAGAGAGAAAAATACAGAGAAATAAAATAGTATTCTCCTGTGAAGTGTTCCTAGTGAATGAGTTTTTCTTGTTTTTCAAGAGAGAGTGTCATTGTTCTCTCCTTGTAAATTAGAGAGAAAGTATAATATTTCTTTTACTTAGTAAAATTATTTCTCTGGTCTTGCCCGTGATTTTTTCCTCATCTGTTGAAGGTTTTTCACGTAAAATTACTGTGTTCAGTTCCTCTTTTCTCATCTCTATTTTAGCTATATGATATTACTCAGTTACTCCGGTACCTAACATATACTATTTTTAACACTTTCATTGTTATTGATTGAAATTTATTAAAAACTATATAATGTAAGTGAGAATTATTAAATTAACAGTAAGAGCACATAATTAAGCTGATTTTCAATGAATTTTAGTTAATACAGAGGGTGTGTTAAAGAGTTTATTAATAGTGTTTTCTCAATCTTAAAAATAAGTAACCATGCATTTTCGATGACCTGTTTTGTTTAGAGTTGAATGTAAAATATAGTTTAATTTGAATTATATCGCATGCATATATAATTTAACATCCTTAGACCTTAATTTATAAACCACAAATATTTTCAGGCTTGGTTAACTTATTTTTGGAGAAGAGCTTTAGTCCATGGTGTGGAAGAAGATGTTGCAGAAGAGCGGCTTCAGTTTTGGATTAGCCGCAGTGAGCAGTCACCAACTTCACTTGATGCTGTCAACGGTAAACTCTCTTTATTCTTGTCATCTTCTTTTGTAGTGCTAAAGAGATTAAACAAAGGATCTTACCGACCAATGTCTTAACATGCTATTAAATACTTCCAATTACCTAAAATTTTGAAATTATTTATTTATTTTCAGTTTAATAAATATTTTCCTTTTCATTAAATATTTTTTCTTTTATTTCCCTGGGCAGTGCCCTCAAAGTAGTCGTTCGCATTTTCCTGAGTTAAAATTAAACAGTCCTGAAAGTACATGAGACTTTGTTCTTCCCTCTTACCAAATTGTTTTTATACCTGGTTTAGGATACCTGGTTTAGGAATTGTGTGCTGATTGGAAAAATGTTGTCAGAGGAAGCTTCCTCCATGGTTCATAATGCCATATAGGAAATTTTTCTTCATTACTTTCCCTGCATTATTTCCTGGATTTCTTGCCAGTTATGGAAATGAGTAATGGTACTCACATTCTAATCATAAGTACAAAAATCAACTCCAATTTTTGTGTTTTTTTTTTCGGACGTGAAAATAATATTACTTTGAATCAGGGTAGGATTACTAGGTTTCTCCTACATGCTATTGTGTGCTTTATTGCCGTTCTTTCATATATTCCAGAACACCATTGGTCAGGTGCAATTAGAGATGGTGAAGTTATTGCTTTAGATAAACTTGAATGTTTATTTGTTTATGAACTTCAAGCTGACGCACTCTGCTTCACTATAGTTGAGCGAGGTTTGTTGGAGTTGAGGAAGCTGGGAATAGAACAGCAACTTTGGGAAGTTTCTCGGAAAGAAATTGATCCGCGTCCAGCGTTAGCACTTGCCAATCATAAACTTTCCACCGAGTCGGAAGCATTATCCTGAAGTGGGAGTCCTTCATTTGTGGATTGATTCTTTGTCTTATGTGCATATTATTGGTTTCTTTTTTTCAATGTGTTTTTCTTTTGCGCACCATTTTTTTGGGGTCTTATACAACGGAATTAAGAATCTTTACGCTGCAGGAGAGACATTGGATTCTGTTCACCTTATGAGACTGAATTTTTCTTCAGCCTTTTAATTGAATTTTGCAGTTCCAGAATCCCAGCTTACTCCTTTGTCGTAAAATTGAAACGCCAAAGGATTAGACGCCGTTACTCTCGCTTTTGGGATTTTAATGTAAATTTTCCTAGTCATATATATTGTTAACTAAAAACTTAACATCCAAGCTGGTTCAACATGCTAATTAAGGTAGTCATATATGTTGTTAACTAAAAACTTAACATTCAAGCTGTTTCAACATGCTAATTAAGGTCCAATTCTAGGCCGTGCTGTTGGCTAGAGGATACATTTGATGCACAAAAAAAAAAAAAAAAAAACGTAAAATATTTACTAAAAACAATAAAAACTGGAAATGCTTTATTCTTTTAAATAATAAGAATACAGTAATAATATAATTTTAAAGTTGTTTTAGCTGTTTGATCACTGGACCCGTTCTAGTGAGCGTGATTTCTTTTCGGAAAACTTGGATACTCTACATAACATTACACGAATTAACGATTCTGAATATTTGTTCAGGTGGTACCATGGTGCTCAAATCAAGTTTGTACCAATCCCTTTCTCTAACCTGGTTCAGCTTGGTCGACGCCAACAGTGGCGGGTGACAGCACCCCAGATCATAAAAAGAAGGAAAACCTGTGTAATTAAATAGGGAAAAGTGGATCAGCCTTTTCTGCACAAGTTAGAAAACAAAAAGAGTGAACAAAGTAAAACTTTAAGTCCTTACTTTACTATGCAACTATCCAAAAGCAGATAATAGGTTTTGCTCTCACTCTCCAACACATTATCCAACTTCGCTGCTCCAAAAGGTCTTTCTAACCACTTCTACCGTTCTACATTATTTTAAATATATATTCAGCATGTTGTTGTGACACAAATTTCCCCCAAGCATGAAGAATAAACCTTGAATCATGTGGGTGTTAGGTGAGAGTGGAAATTGTGTTTGAGAGTCAATAGAATATTTTGACAATACAATAGAATGCCAAGAACACCAGTGACACTAGTGCAACTAATGATGAAAAATCTGAAGCCTTCTGAAAAAGCTATTAAGGTAGGGACCATTTTTTCTCCTTTACCAGTTCTTTGGGCTGCATGTATAACAGAACCCCACCATATATATATATATATATCACATTTGTCTTTTAATAGTTTGTTTGTTCTACAATTTATACTCACCCTCTTCAATTTTTTTCATCTTTAGCTTAAGGGAAGTTCGGTATATATTGTGGTGCAATGTAGTGACTTAATCAATTATGTTATGATTAGACCATTTCTTTTGCTCAACTGTACTTGGATAGGGTCCATTAATATCTCTCGAATATGTTTGCCAAACCATAAACATCCATAAATTGAGCAACTGCATGGCTAGCATACAGATTTAACACAGCTGGTGACCAACAATGAAAAAGCTAGCATGTAAGTGTTGAGGCCACGATGGGGACATGTGGATCCGTATAGGGTAGCATGTGAGTTTGTATATGAAAAGGAAAATAGAAGTGATGGATGAAGTTGGGGGTCGGAGAATAGTTGCTTAGTATCACCAGGACAAAAAGGTTTGGAAGAAAAGAGAAGAATCAAGGTTTACCTTATCATTATAAGAAGAGCCTTTTCGCAACTGGTCAATGGAACAAGTTCATTTCCACATAACTACATAAAGAAAAGTCTTATAACTACCAGGAAAATTTATTCACTTTGGATTTTAAATCTATTCATGTTTCAACAGTGTGGTCAAGAGGAAAGTCTAATCATTGAGCTTACTTAGTTCTTAAATATATACTACATTCCTGTATGAAAGGCAAGTAGGAGAGAAATTAAATGGTAAGTATATAATTCTAAGTCTTTTATGACTATTTTTTATGGTCAATGATGTATTTGAGAACTCTATATCACTAACTTCTCTGACATACCACGATACATGTAAAATACAGTGCCCATTACAGAACTAGGATTGCCCAATATTTCTTGGAATCTCCATGCAGTAGCTATTTTTTGCCCATACTTGTTGATCAAGAAAATTTAATCCATCAAACAAGTTTTTGGGAAAACCCAAAAGGAGCCGTGTATCTCTGCCTGCAACCTGCAATATCCCCCAAGACGCCATGAAGTACTCATATTCTCTGATGACTAAGGCAGGAATACAGAAAAATGAGTTTTTTTCTTCTTCTAAAATGTGCTAAATTAGTCATTTTAACGCATTATAAATTAACTCCCCCCCCTCCCCCTCCCCAAAAAAAAAAACATATTCTAATGTATGAAAAACAGTACTGAGACTGCGAAGCCATTTTCATAGAAAGTGACATTGTCCAGTTGGTGTGGTCAAAAACAAAAAGGTTACAAGGTATTTGTGGTCGATGTATCAACACTAAATAGAGAAAAATACACAAAAGTAGAAGTCTAAAAGAAGATCTACACACTGTAATTCTCTAGAGGGAATATATTAAGGCAGCCCTTATTCCAATAACAAATTTCTTCTTCATAGCTGCAAACTTTATACACTAACTCAGTTTCAAGCATTTGGAGGTCCAACCATGTCTACATACAGTTCTCTTTTTGCTTCAAGGTATATACAGACCCAATACACTCAGGTCCATACCCCTCATACATCTCTTTCAACACCATTTTCTAACCAGGCTGCAACTAAAGAATAAAGCAAAACTGTAATCATAGAATGAAGTAGAGGACAGTGTCCAATCACTTAGTGGCCCACATTTAACCCCATGCAAAAGTACTCAGTAACATTGTAACAATTTAAACACACTACACACTCCCATCTCTCTCTCTCTGATACCACTTTGCCTTACGTAGTCCTACTCTGTCCTGTTTTGTGAAAAATGATGAAATTGCCAACATGGAGAACCATGGCAATGACTGTGGTGTTGCTTCAGCTGAGTACCTTGAAGATCTTCTGTCTCTCTTCTCATGCAGATAGAATTGTTGGGCTTCCTGGGCAACCTCAAGTAGGCTTCCAACAGTTCTCAGGTTATGTTACAGTGGATGACATGCATCACAAGTCTCTCTTTTACTATTTTGTTGAATCAGAAACTGATCCAGCCTCAAAGCCTCTTGTACTTTGGCTCAATGGAGGTGTGCAATCCCTCACTTACTACAACTATATATAATGTAACGATACATGAAAAGTTAGAATTGAAAGTTCAAGGCTTTGGATAAAAAATATACGTATAATATTAGTATATAATATAGATAATTTAGTTTCAGAATATGGTTTTAAAATTTTTTAAAGATTATTTAAATGTATAAGCCAATTCCTGTTTTGTACAGGACCTGGTTGTTCTTCTCTGGGAGTGGGTGCATTCTCTGAAAATGGACCTTTTAGACCTAATGGGGAAGTTTTGATTAAAAATGAGTACAGTTGGAACAAAGGTACTCCATTGACCATTCCATTATATAAGCAAGAATTGCCCCAACATGATCTAGTTACTTTGTGATGCAGAGACAAACATGTTGTATTTGGAGACACCAGTTGGAGTGGGGTTCTCTTATGCTAAAGGTGGCTCTTCCTACAAGACTGTGAATGATAAGACTACAGGTAAACTATCTTCCATTACTATCAATTACTTTAGGCCTTTGTTTTTCTTTTTTAATCTTTTGAGACAAATATACTTCTCTTTAGAAAGCTCCTTTGAATCATATCTTCTGTCGAAAAAGGCAGGTACAATATGTATGAAGCTTAGGCTTTTAAAAAGTTGAGACAAAAACAGCAATTAGTGCTAAAAAATGTCACTCAACTTTTGCATGATATGATATCCTCCATTTGATATTCGTCGTCCCTTGTCCTTAACGGTAGCATTAGAATGTTATTATTCTAGATTTCAATATGCTAGTCCTTTGACACTCAAATAGTCATTATTCCCATCTGTCATCTGAAGCAGTACTTTTAATTTCTTAAGCCAGGGACAATCTTGTATTCTTGCAACGCTGGTTCAACAAGTTCCCCCAATACAGACACAAGGATTTGTTTCTAACTGGTGAAAGTTATGCAGGTATGTATGTCAGTCATGTTTACCTATCATTTCTAGAAAACTCCATTTCCTAATACAGCAATCACTATTATTTATTGTTACACATTTTTATTTGTAAAAAAATCAGGACATTATATTCCACAACTTGCCAAGCTCATGATTGAAATAAACAAAAAGGAGAAGATATTCAATCTGAAAGGCATAGCAGTAAGTAACATACTATTTATTTATCCAGCATGTTTCTTTCTTAGACTTAAGACTTTGCTAATAATGGTAATGTTAAAATGGTCTCTTTTATTGCAGTTGGGTAATCCAGTACTAGAATATGCCACTGACTTCAATTCAAGGGCTGAGTTCTTCTGGTCTCACGGGTTGATATCAGATTCAACGTACAAAATGTTCACTACCGGTTGTAATTATTCCCGGTATGTCAGTGAATACTATCGAGACTCAATTTCACCTCTTTGTTCGAAGGTTATGAGCCAAGTAAGCAGAGAAACAAGTAAGTTTGTGGACATATATGATGTCACCCTTGATGTTTGCATTTCCTCAGTGCTTTCACAGTCTAAAGTTATTTGTCCTCAAACCCAAGTGAGTCTTGGACTATCTCTTCTGGATATTTTTTCTATCACTTATTTTTTACTATTTTACTTATGCTAATTGTTTTTCAAATTGGCTTGTTCATTATGGCTTAAAGAATTTTTTCTCCTGTTTCCAAACAGCAAGCAAATGAGAGTACTATAGATGTTTGTGTAGATGACAAAGTTACAAATTACTTAAATCGACATGATGTACAAGAATCTCTCCATGCCAGGCTTGTTGGAGTTCGAAAGTGGGATGTTTGTAGCAAGTAATTTCTTCCGAATTTAGTGAAGAGTTTATCATTTATCAAATTAATTGGTTACTCTAATGGATTTTCTTAATTGGTCTTTGGAACATGAAAGACTAATAATCATAATCAGTTTATTTCTTAATTTACCAAAAAAACAAGCATTGACCTGCATTGTGTTGTTAACAGCATTCTGGACTATGATATGCTAAATCTGGAAGTACCTACGCTACCTGTAGTTGGATCACTTATAAGAGCTGGAATTCGGGTCCTAATTTACAGGTATTTGTTACAACTAAAATATTTCTTTCTCCTTGTTGATTGTATTTTTTCAGTTGAACCTGAAGGCTAACATAAGTTACATTACCATGTTTTGTTCTCACTATAGTGGAGATCAAGATTCAGTAATTCCACTGACTGGAAGCCGCACCTTGGTTCAAAAGCTGGCAAGACAACTAGGACTGAATACAACTGTTCCTTATAGAGTATGGTTCGAAGGCCAGCAGGTTCATACTACTTAACAACTTTCTTAACTGTGTTAAATATCTGCATGCACAACAATGATGGAAAGCATTTTTCAAGGAATTACAAATCCTTAAAACATAATTCAAATCATATAATTTATGTACACTATAAACTAATCTGAGTATGAAATATTTTAGGTTGGTGGGTGGACTCAAGTTTATGGTAATATCCTCTCATTTGCTACAGTCAGAGGTGCATCCCATGAAGCCCCTTTCTCACAGCCTGAAAGATCACTTGTTTTATTCAAGTCATTCTTGGAAGATAGACCCCTACCTGAATTTTTCTGACGCAACATTTTAGTGTTTTACTGATTTAGTCGGGAGATTATAAGTAAGCTTAAATTTGTACTACATAAATATTAAACGGATGTATTAACTTTGTAATATGTCAAAAGAAAAGTTGGTAAAAACGATTTGAAGGGGAAAGGGGTTGGTTTGGGGTCATAAGCGTTAGTTAATTAACAGGAAAACAACTTGAGTTCAAAGACATGAGAATTATGTGGTTTCATGAGTCACATGCCAATTAACTTCTATAATGGAGCCAACAAGGGGACCCTCCCACTTGTACCTTTGTTTTTGTGTGCTTGTTCGTTCATTTGGTTTATCAAATGTAACGGATCTTTGGTTTAAACAATTTCTATAAAATTGTAGCAAGAAAATGCAACTGGGTTCCTTTTCTAAATTTCTAAGCAAGCATAAAGAACTATTCCTGTTACATAATGTAATGTAGTACTGCCTTCCGTGCCAAGTGGTGCATAGACAAAAGTACTTCTCAAAAAGTAACAAAACTATTTTAAATTTTGGCTTAACAAACTTCTGCTGTTCTGCTTCTAATAAGTAATAATCACTCAGAAAAGTAAAAGCATGCAGAGTAGCAGTAAAATCCTTTATCCATTTTGCTCAGAGCTGGGTCAATAGGACTACTCCAATGCATAAGAAATCTAAAAAAAACAAAAAGATTTGAACTCAAACTTTTGTCCAATAGGGAAAATTTACCATTCACTATTAACATTCCACTTTCTAGATTATCATGGTAACTCAAAACAGTTATCATTTTTCAATAAAATGTAATGTACGTCCGTATGTATCATATCATACCAATTACTTTCATGAAAGATGCCTTGCTTTGTCCGTAAACAACAGTATGATTTTCAAGATTCAAGACAAAATGGGGTAACCCGCCCCTGTTTATGATCAGAATCTTTCCAACTGTCCACGTTTTAATAATAGCTCTAAACAGTGACCTTAATCTAGGGATCTATTAGCTCTTAGGCATTGACTTTTTTCCATTCATAATTACCATTTTGTAAGATTTTAATTGTACTTTAGTTTTTTATTTTTTAAAACTCAACACTTTAATCTTTGATAATAATGTAATTATTTGAGAAACTGCTTTGTGTCAATGAATCATATTATTATTAGAGGCTAAAAGTAATAATTTTAAAAAAAAATAAAAGATTAAAACAAACAAAAAAATTTAAAAGAACAAAAATTAAAATATCACATAAAAATATAGTAACCAAAAAATATATTTAACTTTGTTTCAACTATGTTATACTTACGTACCCTCAAAGTTTAAAACCATGTTTTGTCCTTCATGAAAACTGATGACATCGCCAATTAGAAACTAAGGATTATTCCTGTTTCGGCTGAAGACAAAAAATGGTTTATTGGGGGGAGCTTGTACTAGTGATTGCCTTCACTTTGACCCTATTTCTCTTCTGAGCAAATACTTGCAAGAAACAGTATAAAATATGCAATGAAGTGGTTTGCTTTACCAGCTCTTTACCGTACGAAGATGCCAACAAAATAAAGTTAGATATCTCATTTTGGTATCGAATTTGATGATGCTGCATGCTTAGCAGACTGCGTTTCTTATTAGTTGTCAGTATCCCATTTATAGGTATAGCTTATATTGATGGGTTTCTTTAGATCCTTTATTTTGAATTAATGTGTATATCTATATCTTATATTCAAGCCAAGTGTGTGTTTAGATTTATATTAAAAAATTTATAAGTAGATTCAATAGAAAAGTATAATAATATAGCGTTGATAAACATGAATTAGTCATTTAAACGTGAAATTAAATACACACTAAATATTAATTCTTAAATGGGAATACTTTTAAAAATAATTTCAAATGGCATTTTTATGAATTTTTTCAATGTTGCATATCTTTTTTGTATTGAATATTTTATTTTTATTATTTTATATTCTTTTTAAATATATATTTTTATTTGTTCAAACCAAATAAGATTATTGTAAATAATAAATACATCGAATTTAAAATTATTGATTGAGCTAAAATAACCCAATGATAGTTAATTTAGGGCCTCTGAGATGATTGTCTCGATTAATCATTACTACTAAACATTAGTATTAACTAATAACACATATAATGACTCTATTTTTTACGTACATGTAATTTATTTCGATAATCAAATATTATTATTATAAGTTTTTAAAGTACTAAATAAATAGTTTAGTATTTTTCTCTTAGTTAGTTATAACAATATATTCATAATATACTAATATAAATTAATAACTAATTAATAATAAATTACTAATGATTGATAATTTAAGTTAAATATTACACATTATGTAAACATGTACACCCATAACTATGAGATCTAGCTACTTTATAAACATAAGCAAGGACTCCATCTATTTATGTTGAGAAATGCATTAAGACTTAAAAAGAAACAGATAGACATTTAATTAAGAAAAAATTGTTTTATTGATAAATAAAAATACTTTATTTCTTAATTTTAAAAAATTATATAGAAATAAGACAAATAAATCTAGTTCACGAAAAATAAAAATAAAAATTAGGAAGGTACCAAATGAATCACCTATGGCCCTTTTTGAGTAAATCATATTTCCCTCGAAATATGACCCAAAATGCTAGTTCTGTCAAGCCCAAGAAGCCATTCGACACATTTAAAATAAATTATGCAAATAAAATTCGTTATTCGACGAAAATATAATTATTTTTAATAAAAACATATGATTTTAAATAAATAATTCGTATTAAAGTTTAAAGTTAAAGATTTAGGATATTAAACGTGTGATGTCTTAAGTATAGAATTTAATTTTGAACTGTGTTAGAAAATGATTTGTTGTGAGATATTATATTCATTTTAATAGTTTCTTCATCTCAAAACTCTTTTGTCCACCACAAAAAATAATGTGATCCCAAATAACCAGTAATTTACAGTTTCATTGTTAACTAAGACACATAAGAAACTTTTGTGAACATTATTTTATTTAGTTTCACTGGAGACTGTTACACAGTAAGCTATTTCGAGTAGGAACAGCCTCGTTACACATTTTTTGTTCAAACCCTTCAATTTTACTTAAATAAAAATTTTGATTCGATTAGAATGTTAAAAGAATGTTACTTTTATTCATATAGGTGCTTTAACCAAGGAATTTTATACAAAAATTTTTTGAATTAAAAATTAATTAGGCAACAAAAAATAAATTTTCTTAAAAAATGATGATCGTATATTTTTAATATATTTTTTATACAGTTCTATCATTAATTAAGATTTATGTGATTTTACTGTATGTATTTAAATAAAGATCTTAATTACATATTTATTTGATAATTTGAGCTTGTCATAAATTCCATAAAATAAGTTTAAAAATTATTTTCGTATTACATTCTTTTAATTATCTCTCACTTGAAATGATATTTTTTTATGTTGCTATAGAGTATATCATATTTCTTATTGTAACAGAATATATATATATATATATATATATATATATATATATGGAAAAAGATATTTTTATATGAGTGTAAGTATAAAAAATTTTATATTCAATTTGAACATTTTATTTAACTTACATCTAACAGTTAGTGAAGTAATAAATTATAACTCGTTAAATATAAATTAAATGAAAGATTTAGAATTAGTATAAAAATTAAATTTACACTAATATAAAAGATGACGTCCATTTATAATATATATATATATATATATATATATATATATAATAAACAATATACAAAAATATACGTTAAAAATATATCATTAACATTTGTGTTTGAATAATTTTTTTTGTTAAGTCGTCTTATGAATAGATAAAGTTAATCTTTTATTTTGATTGTATTTAAATTCTTTCAAAAATAATTTAACTTGATTACATTTAGATTCTAATCAAACAACATAAACATAAAATTAAAAAATAAATTTAAAATAATTCCATGCACAGGCATCTTATAATTAAAAAAAGTCCCGGTACACCCAAAAGGGGACAAAAGGGACCGTTGCAAGACCTGAATATTCATAATAAAACTTCATAAAAAAATCATATAAAAAATTAATGTGATGATGGTACTATAAGAAATAATAAATAAATAAATGAATCCAAAGGCATCACTATTCTATTCACCACAGATCATAACCATCATGAAAAAAAAGAGAAGGATCTGGCATATGGTGAAATAGTGATGATGCTCAAGATTTGCTTGGCTGAGACCTTTAATCTTCCATTCCATTCCATTTCCAAGGCCAACCAAACAATCTCACCTTTTTCTATGCACTTAGTGACCCACCACACCCTCAACTCAACAACTTCATCAACTTTTTCTAGTTCTACTTCTACTGTACTCTATACTGTTACTAATTTGTTCTCATACAACACCTGTATTCTCTTAAGCAGTGTTGGATAGTACAACACTTGGAACAGTATCCGTAGTTCCTATTGTGTTGTGTATCTTAGCTCCAAAATCTATGTGCATGAAGTGGGCATCATCATTACCATAATTCACAACCCTCCCAATTCTCTCTCTCACTCTCTCCCCTTAAAAAAAGCAGATTACTTTGCCTGATATTCCGTGCAATTTTTCTTTGGAATTTGACTTTGCAATCCCACGAAAACCAAATCTTTATTATACAAAATAACAATACCATATGGCAAAGGAGCAAAAACAGGTTCACAAATGACACCCTCTTTTGTCTACATAACATATTATATATATATATATATAATATAAATGTAAAATTTTAAAAAAATCTATAATATACTTGTATTCCTGATCATGGCTTTAATTTAGATCTTACATGCATGTTTTGTATTGAACTGTGATTGTAATCTGAACTAACTGGTAGTAGTGTATAGATAGATCCATTATTGGATCTGGTTAATGTTTTACATGAACATTAACATTTTGCATGTGGGAGTGGGAATTACAGGGCAAAGGCCAAGAGAAGGAATTGGAACTCCAAAGGGAAGAAACTGAGGTTGAGATTGAGGTTCCATTGCCTCTCACAGAGACTTCACGGGTCTGATACTTTCTTTTTTTAATTGGATATTCAATTTATGGCATTTTGAAACTGCCAGTGTAACTGCATGGATCAATGATGGAAAGTTCAAAGTTTGAAGCTTTTTGGCGTTGTTTGGGGAACATGGGACTTGGGCAATGCAGGTTTTGTATATGTTGGGAGATATCACTGCTGGGCCTGCGTTTAGGTTCACGCAATGGCTCCAATTGGTTCGTAAACGCACTGCTAAGTATCGTTCCTCTGGCTTCCCACACCGCATTTCCTCCACTATGCCTTCCACTTCTTGGTTAGTTACTGCTACTTACCATTTTCTTTCATTTTCAACATCCCTTCATTGGTTCTGTTAAGTTTTGGCGTTTAAGGCTTTTATTGGATGCTACAATAGTTTTTAGGTTTTTTTTTTCATTTATTGGGTGCTATAGTTATAAGGTTATTTTATTCTATTTTATTTAGTGGATGATGTAGTTTTAAGGTTATAAATGGGGGCATAGTTATGTTGCTAATGCTCATAATTTGTGTGCAGCATCAGAGAATCTATTGAGGATCCAAAAGAGGACCTTCACCCTGATCAAACAGAAATTAGCTTGTGGGAGAGGCTTGGGAAAGCTGCAATGTTGGATATTGAATCGAGCTCCTTTTCTTGGAACATGCTCTCTTCACTGCACCATACTGAACACAGCAGTAGCAATGAACATTCTGAGGATGAGATGAACAAAGCTCTTGAGGTTCATCGTTTTCTATAGTCGTTATGTACAAGCACTGATACAACAAATATTTTGTGTTTAATTCAATGTTGAGGAGTAAATAGCAAGCAGGGTTGATGTTTTAGATGTAACTTCTATGTCATAGATTGCCAACTTAGGTTTCACATACAAGCCAATGTGCACCCTGAGGATATCAGAGGGAGTAAATGTGGTTTTGAAAATGTTGCTAATAGTTTTAAAAGTTACAGAAAAAGGGTAATGATTTCTTGCTGGTTTAGCTTTTGTCCCATATTTTTTTGATTTGGTGCTTCAATGTAGGCATGAGCACCTATGCTGTTCATTCATTCTAGTGGAGTGTTAATATCCATGTAGACAAGTTTTCGTTTTTGGACAGACATAGTTTTGTATTTCTTTGTAGAACAAGATTCAAGAGAAAGTAAGCTTACATCAAATCTTTATTTTCTTAACTTCTCACTTAATGTCACCTGACTCTCCTCAGTTGTGTGCACGTAGGTAACAGTAAATTCTGGAGGGGTTGTCTTCTTTGTCTTTTTCAATTTCCCTGGGAATGCTGACGCTAGTCCAAAAGAAGCAGCAGCTGTTATAAAGATATCGTCATCAAGAATGGCAACACAGTCTGAACGTCTTGGTTATGAATTTGCCAAGTGGATGGGAGTCCAAACTCCACAGGTTGTTCCTTAGGTTTTATAACACACGCTCCACCACATCTGCAAGCTTAGGTTATCAGACTATACTTCCGCCATATTCACTCTTTTCTATTAATTGGAAGATGCAGGGTAGAGTCATTCACAACACAAGTTTAGAATGGCAACAAATAAAGGAAGCTGCAGAAAAAGCTAGAGAAGCAGCAAATTTTGAAGGTGATGAACTTGGTGAAGTGACTTGTTTCGAACTTTTGGAAGCACTCGAGCTCAGCCGATGTCTATTTTTTATGAGGTATGATAAAAATATGATCTTAATAAGTTCAGGTTTATAACATAATACCTTTGCTTCTTTGTCACTTCCAATTAATCTGGCTTAAACGAAGTGAACATTGCCAATATACAGCTTCTGATTTTTACTTTTTTACATTGAATTTCAATAAGCTCAGCACAGGACTGTTTGACTGATCTTGACATGCCTAAAGCAAATCTTTGAAATAGATCGTTGGTTTTTCTCATATACAAAAGTCCCATCACCTTGTGTAAAGCAAGTGTTTCGCCAGTTTCTCAAGCATGCTTAATAGAAGGCAGTTTTTCCTGGCATTTATAGGAAAACCAATGAAAGGTTAATTCTTAGGAAATTCTGATTGGTTTTTTATGTCCCTATGCCCTTTAATGATGCTGATCGTCAAGATTGGATGGGTAGAAAGCTGTTGTCTCTCTGAACAAAGGAAGCCTTTATAAAGGTTTCCACGACAAATAGCAGGCTTTGTCCTGCCAGGTGTGGTTGCATCAACATAAGGGCATGTTTAAAAAACAATATGCATAAAATTCTATTTTTTAAAGAATACACAAAATATCATCCTCAATTTTGTTACTTTTGCCACATAATGATGATTTTGTGTTTAGACTTGGTGTTGCTATTTCTAATGTGGCTTCTATACTGTCATATCCTCTATATTTACTACGTTCTAATGCAAGATTAAACCATCCAAGAAATGGTATTTTCAGATAAATAATTTAACAGTAATAATGTGATTTCAAGCGAGAACCACCTAGAAATAATTCACTGATTCTCTTGTTTTCTTCCACTATGAAACAATATATCAGAAATTGGTACAATGAAAAGAAAAATGTTTTATTTCTAAACCATTTCTGTGCTCACCTCATTAATTCCCAGAGAAGACAATGAAAGCAGTTAATATGGTATTTGTAGAAAGAGTTGTTATAGCTGGTAACTCATTTGCATCTTTTGTTGACAAAACATAGCTGTTCTTCTACAGAATAAATTTTGAATTTTCATTCTGAAAATTCACTGTCTTCTTGCAGTTATGTACATGGTTCACCTTTGCTTGAAAACTCCAGCGCATTTGAACGGGAATCTGCAGATAGAACATCAGCAGATCTTGGCAGGGTACTAATGCTGGACCTTGTCATCAGAAATGAAGATAGGCTTCCTTGCCGTGAGCTCAGATGGCGTGGGAATCCTGCAAATTTGTTGTTAGCTGAAAAGGCGATCTCTGGAAATACTGATACACTTGAAACAGCTTTTGATTCAGCAATTAATCGATATAGACCGAAGGTGATTAGAGCACTTCAAAAAGAAAGAAGGTCAACTTCAGTAGATAGCAGATTCAATTCTCATAATCCCAGTTTGATATCACAATCCTATGATATTTCAGAGATAACAGAATCACCAAGATCTGCTGACACAAGCATTAAAAGCCAAACATCAGGAGAATCACAGTCTCCTGACTTTAACATTGTAGCCATTGATTCTGGCGTTCCTCGGCGACCCCCTGCTGGAAAACGTGCAAATGATCAGGTCAATTACCCTAAGTTGGTTGAGTTGCTGATCAATAGTTCTGAGTATGCCTCAAACCTGTTATATGATATAACTGGAGGGAAATTAGGATATCCTCCACCAGGAGCCATGGATACAACTGATGTACATGCAAGTGAAACAACTTCAGTAGTTCATGCATTCCGTACTGGTTTCCGTTCTGCTCTTAGGGATCTGCAGGGATTCCATATATTCCTACTCACACTTCACCAAAGACTTGATACTTTGTTACGATCATTTATGAACATTATAAGCAAAATATCTTTGGGGGAATCTGACAAAGAGGATTATGTGGTTCCAGACTCACCTTCACTTGCTGCTGGCGGTACTTCCTCTCCAACAAGTAAGGAGAGGCCTGCTACTGACAGTCATCAAGATTTTATTGATTCAGAATCTCAGAGAACTGCTTCAAGGGCATCACCTTCAAGCAATAGAGATTGCAATGACTCTACTCCCATGTCAAGAGAAAGTTGGCATGGAAAGTTCTATAAAGGAAATGGGGAACCACTTCGTAGTCTCCGCTTGACAGCTAAGCTCCGTGACTTCCATAAATTTGCCAAGGTTGGTCTTGTAGGAAACATAACCTTGTTCCCTATTCACATGGTTTTTTTGCTGCAGTTGGCATAATCTGAATCGATGTTTTGATGCATTTGTTCCAATTGACTTTTTGGATAGATCATAAATAATTAGTCAGCAGCATATTGCTTTACTATGCAAAGCAAAACAATAGGACTTTTTTGCATGTCAATGTGCCCCTGTTGCTTTCATAAATGAATGCATGGATATTGAATTAGTTCCAGCCATTCTTATGTTGAAAATGCATGTTATTTCTCTGTTTCCTTGACTTCTGCTCTTGATGTTATCTTATTGCCTTAACAGATGTGATTACACTAATGAACATAGACCAGAATGTTGCCTGTTACCAAATTATTGAAAAATGGATTTTAAAAAAGTATTTATCAGGAGTTCCATTTCCCCTTTTCTCTGCATGTGCTAATATATAGGCAATCCTATGACTCTGGGCGATTGGTCAATAGGAATAGAAGAGCAATGTAATTATCTGTTTTCTTTTCCATATAAAACAGTATTTTTACCATGTTCCTTATTTTTTTTTTGTATACTGCTTCATGGTTTTCAGGTTGATGCTGAATCTAATAAAGAATTGGAACAGTGGAATGAAATGCTTAAAAGTGATGTCATCAAGCTATGCCAGGAGAACAATTTCAATGCAGGATTTTTTGAGGGTAGTGATAACAACAGTGTTGTTGATGCATATGAACTTAAGGTTATCTTCCCTTTAAAAGATTCAAAACTGCAAATTATAAGACTCCTTTCATTTGAGGGATTTCTAGTCATGATGCATTATCCTTTTAAATTTCAGGTTAGACTTGAGCATATCCTTGAGAGAATCGCATTGATATCTGATGCTGCAAGTACGGAGAGACCATCTGCAGTTACAAGTTGTCTGTTCATTGGTGGAGCACTGGCTGCAAGATCTGTATACACACTACAATACCTGGGAATCACACATATTTTGTGTTTGTGTACCAATGAAATTGGACAGTCAGAATCTCAGTTTCCTGATCTATTTGAGTACAAGAATTTCTCTGTAAGTCATATCCACTTGTCTACTTTTTACCCTCAATTATTCTTTTGTCTTATTTGTTGAGATTTTCTTTGAGATTCAGTTTAGTGGGAGTCCTTGACACCCGTCTTTTCTTTTCCTTGTTGATTATCCATGCATTTAGGATTAATCAAGTTAAATTTTCATTGAAGCCTTAGTTCATGTTCGTTTCTCACTTTAATAACTTCTTGAGTTTCTAATGACTATTATAAACTACCACTTATCCTAAAAGTTTATGTTCCTAGGTACATACATGACCATGAAAAATGTAATTATGAAGGATGATGGAATTTAATGTAATTATGAAGAATGGAGATGACAAAAATGTAAGAAGTCCATGTTCATGCTCTAAGCATGGACAATGTCTTGCTCTCGTGCTGAAATTTAATTTAATGTAATTATGAAGAATGGAGATGACAAAAGTTACATTGTTGACCAATTATGCAAAGAGGTTCTCATACCGTGTCAGCAAACAATCATCTCAATCCAAGTGCTTGAGTTGTTAGGTGCAAAGCCCATGAATGCTTTTTAGATCATATTTAGATTAAGATTTCTACCTTAGTCAAAATATCCCTAATCCCTCTCGTTAACAAATGATGGAATCGAGAAATGGCCAGGGTAAATCAGGTTTAAAATTTTCCTGCTTTACTAGCATAATAAAATTCATATTATGGAACTAGAATTTTGTATTATGATCTTCTATACCCCTGTTCTTATGCACTTTCTAATGTTCTTTTCTGTTAAAATTTTACTTTTAAGTTTTTAATTAGTTTCCTTTTGGGAATATGTCTTCATGTTGGTTATATTCACTATCCCATTTGTAACAGGTGTGTGACAGTGAAGAATTTAATATCAGCACCGTATTTGAAGAAGCATGTGACTTTCTAGATTATGTTGAGCAAACAGGTCAAAAAGTTTTAGTTCATTGCTTTGAGGGGAGAAGCAGAAGTGTCACACTGGTCCTTGCTTACTTAATGCTCCGGAAGTAAGTAAAAATGAAAATTTATCTAAGATATAGCAGAGATTGCAAAATGATACTGTCACCTAAGCCAATCACTGTTGCAATTGTAATTAGATAAGAGAATCTTAATAGCAAATATATTTACCACTGGTTTTTTTGGGTGGTGAACTGTATTAGTAGTGTAGTCATCAATTCTTTCATGGTTAAATGCTAGGAAACAATCTAATTATAATTTACCATTTGGCAATCATAAGCTCTTTGATGTGTTACATTATTACTGCTAATGAGTGACAGCTGCAAAAGGTTTTGGACTGAAGCTTTTCTGGTGCAGGAAGTATACTTTGTCGGAAGCATGGCAAGCAATTAAACGAGTTCACCGTCGAGCACAACCCAATGACGGTTTTGCAAAGATCTTATTGGAACTCGATAAGAACTTGTATGGGAAGGTTTCAATGGAATGGCAGCAGCGGAGACCAACAATGAAAGTTTGCCCCATCTGTGGGAAGAATGCTGGACTGAGCAGCAGTTCACTCAAGCTACATCTTCAGAAATCACATAGAAAGCTATCATCTGGGAGTGTAGATAGTGCCATGACAATGGAGATCCAAAAAGCATTAACAGCTTTGAAGATTAGTCGCAGTGGGAGTGTCAGTCCCACACAAAGGTCTTCTCATTCAATAATAGATGAATAGAAACAACAATTTCATATGTTTTTCACTGCCAAGGTTAGAAATTGATGGGGGTAAAAATCCAGCAGTCAATATTGCCCAAAGTGTGTTTTCTTTAGTTTTTCTTCTACATCAATAGAATTAGGTTCGGAAGTGGGTCTAAGAGCTGTCCCATTAAATATGTTCATTTAGAGTTGCGAATTGTCATAATCAAGTTTTTCCACAGGCCAACAAAAGGGTCAGTAAGGATATGATTGCCATTCTCTTACGCACATTCATATAATGAAGCATATTCCATTCGGAGAAATTGAATATTATAATCAATTCTACAATATTTAAATATTTTATCATGTAATATTGTAATCTTTCCATAATTTTATAGAGGAGTTGAATCTTTTTCTCATAATTACTCTAATGGTACATAATCAAAAATAAAATTAAAAATAAAATTATATTAAAATTTTATTTAAACTATTACATATTCAAACGTATAGAAAAAAAAAATTACAGTACATTCTCTTATCTACCCATGTAGATGAAGTTGTCAAGTGGCTATTATCATCATGCAATGGATGAAGATAAAAAAAATTTCAGATATAAATTTAGGGATCACATGTCTAACTAATAGTCTCAAGTGAAGCCTCAAGGGAATTGTGCAACATTAAATTTACAATTAGGTTCTTCATCAATTCAAATTTGAGTGAGATAATAGAATTTTGTAACTAGTGAGTTCGAGTTCTCTCTAATATTAGCTTTTTTTTTTTTTTTACCAAATACAGCAATTACATCTTATGATGTTATTTGATAATAATTTATTTAAGAATCAGTCAAGTTTTTCTTATGAAAAAATTAATTTATTTATGGCAGAAAATGCGAATATGTCAATTTTAACTATTTCTACTCAAAGTGTTATGACACCTTATTATAGAAAAAACATTTTTTCAAACACAACTGCAAATATTATTTACAAGAAAATTTTGGATAAACTTTTGTAATGTTTAGTTAGTTAATACAAATTAATGATATGTAATTATAAAGATCTTTTTTTAATAAATTTTTTTCCAATCAATAATTGTTATTTTCTTATCAAAATATTGCACAAGTGAAATACTAGTTAAGTTACTAAAATATTCTTATATTGTAATAAATTAGGCTGACGTGATTTAATTAAAAACTCATGTAATAACATTTTAGTAAATCATATTAACAACAGAAATTAAAAATAAAAATATATAAAAAAATAAATATTTTTTAGGAATATTTTTTAAATAGATTAATAACAGAGTTATTCAACACGTATTAAAAGTTTTAAAGGTCGAATACATTTTTATAAAATATTTTGAGACTAAGATCCACGTAACTCAAATATCAAATATGTTAATTTATAATTTTTATAAGTATTAAATTTAAATAAGCCACACATCACTAGGAAAATAGCTTTGCAATTTAGAAATAGATAAAATTATTTACTTAATTTTTCACTACATTTATTTTTCAACATTTTGATCCATCACATAACTAAGTTTTTAAAAAAATTAAAAATGTTACAATTTTAGCCCTCCAAAATATTTATTATTAAATTATTTATATTTATTAGCTTACGTTTATTCAAACACCATTATCTTAATGAACTAAATTTAGAAATTATATTTAATTATTTAATCAACTGATATTATCATAAAATAATTTTATACTTATTTAAAAATAAATCATTAATAAATTTTGATTGCCTTACAAAGAATTCAATGGCTTTAATAACAGTAATATGTTCAAAACTTATTAATTAGTAGTCATGTCAAGGACATGTTTATTTGGTCAAGTAGTTTAGACAGAAGTTATATAGCTAAACATGGTTTTAACTAACTCGTTGGTAGAACTCCGTACTAGTACATTAATTGGACATGGATTTGACGCTTTCCTTGTGTGAAAAATATTAAATTCCTAAATTTTAGCTTATTTGTTGTTATGTCCTTCCAACAAATTACTTAAGACATCACAGGAAATTATTGTCTTCACTAATTTACTCAAAATGTCACACTTATACTGATGACACTCTTCACTGTATTAGAGAATATTTGACAGTTAAGAAAATATGAGTTTATGCAAATATATAGATTGGAGAATTTGAAACTTTTTTTAATATGAATGATTGGATTATGACTCAATATAAAATTAATCATCCCTTATTTTTAGCTACACTATGGTAGATACAAAAGGTTAAGAATGATGTTTGCATTATTGGAAAAAAAAAATCTCAATTTATAAAATCATGTTTAATGTTATGAACCTTACCAATCAGCTTCATTTATGTGAATAAGTCCAACAATTTCAAACCTGCTTGGAGCACTAGGTTCATTGGAAGGCTTATCAAAAATTTGAATTCATTCTTAATGTTAATGGAGTGCTTAGAGGAGTCCAAGAAGAGGTGCTCTCGTTAAAAATAGGAATGAAAATTAGCTTAGAAGAACTTATGAGTTTATTAACATTTTTTACAATACACATGTTAAACTCAGTCATGCTTCAGGGTTAAAAATAGCTTGGAACATAAATATCAGACATCTCTTGTATTACTCTAACATAATGGAGATCATAAAACAAGTGATGGAAATTATTTCATTTTTTCACAAGCATGCTACTCTCATTTGAGATATAAACCCTAGTAATGTATATTTTTTAGTTAATTTTAATCTTCTTTTATTCTTTTTAACTTTCTATTTTTCATTTTTCTTCCAAATTTATTAGAATTCTAGTGTTTATAAATTTTCTTACCTTATTACTATTTTGGTGAAAATTGTTTAAGTTTGGATATTAATTGCAGGTTATTCAGCGCCAAGACACAGACTTATGTGTGCCAAGGCGCCACTCAAGTGTTACAATGTGCTCTCGGGTCATCCTGTGCCAAGGTGTAAGCTTGTGTGTACTAAGGCGCTTATCACGATTAGCTAATAAGGTTACAGGACTTTCAACGCCAAAGTGCAGACGTTTGTACACTAAGGCTCAAACTTACTGACATAGACAAGAATACATATTATGTAAGATAAAAGGGATTGTGAGACACATTGTTGAAGCATGATTTTTTTGCGAGAGAGAACCAAGGGGCAACTCTTTTAGGGCAGGAAGACCAAACCTATATTTGGGTCTTTGGAAAGAAAAATTGGAGAAGATTCTTAGACTCATTTTCTTCTCAAGAACATGTTTAAGGGAACTTCTATTTCTTTTCTTGTTTTCATTTCTGTGATGGATTACTAAACATTTTGTAGTTAGGGTTGATGGATCTCTTTGGGATTATGATGTAATTAGATTCTTGACTCTAGTTTAAACTTCTTTTGATGTTAGTTTGTAAATTTGTTCTTAATGCTTGGTATGAACTAACTAATCATGCTCTGTATTGATAAACCTTCTTGACATTGAAAAATAGAATGCGTGATTGTACTTCTTGATTTACTTGCCTTATTATTTAATTTTCTAATAATAGAAATTATTGGGTGTGTGATCTTTCGATTTCCTTGTACTCTAAAATTTCAGACTTATACATTTGGAATTAAGGAATTAATCTTTGTGTATGAGTTCAAAAGAATTTATATACCAAGGAATTAGATATGTATTAATTTAGTAGAAACTTTTTTTAACATCTTCAGAACTTGAACTAATAGGAAAGTTTAGTTTATCACATGAACAATGAGTGAAGTCTAATCTTAACTATCTTGTCATTGAATTTTCTTATTTTATTTCAAATTTTGTTGTTTATTTACTTGCAAAGTAAATTAAATCAATTTATAATTTAGAGTCTCATTCAATCTTAATCATATTTAATTAGTTCGATTTAGTGAATCAATAAGTGTTTGTATCAATCTCTGTGGGAATGATATTTTCTTTTTACTATATTACTTATACGATTCAATACACTTGATGAAGTGACTAAAAAAAAATAAACAAATTACCATCAGACACACCTTAAATAATACGTGCAAATTTTTTAGTTAAATTAAAAACTTTTTTATATTATGATTTCAAATGTTAAATCTGACCGCTTAAAATTATTTTTTCAAGCTAATGTAAGGAGAGTATCATATTTAATACTATAATTTTTTTTATTTTTTCTTCAGTTTCTTTGTTTTCCTCTTAAAAAAAAGATTGTAAATAAATTAAATAGACACATTTCAATTATTATTCTCGCAACCTTAAACATGTCTAACAATGATTTAAAAGTTAAATTAATATGAAAAATATACTTTCACTAAATCTTTGTATTGTTTGTGAAAACTTTAATAAGAACAATTGAAAGAGATTTAGCACATTATTTCATAACGAATCACTATTAAGAAAAGAAATCCTAAGAATCATTGTCAACGCTTGTTAGGCAAATGTCAGGTCACTTCGGTGTTCGGCAAAAGTTGAAGGACACAAAAAGGATCCTGTTGAACGACGAAAACAAAACATGGATCATGATACGTTTGAAAGAACATCACACGCATGCACCACATTCAATGCCCAACATTTTATATAAATTTTATACTTAGGAACCGCCTACAAATTCAAACGAGACCTCGTCATATCCATTCATAAAAAGTTACAAAAAGATTATCAGTTAATATGAGAACTTGTGACTAAATTATGGATTATTTAAGTGAAAACTGAGTTTGAAGATAGCAGCGATTATCTTACTTAGACGTCCTAATTACATTGCATTTTAAATGCCCATGGTCATATGCCTCTCTACCAAATGCCGCTTTAGCAATGGAAAATTCAAAGTGTAAATTGGAATGGCTCAGTGGCAGGATGAAGAAAAAACAAGAACTTACAGTTGCATATCATCATCGAAAAAAACTAATATACTGTAAAATCTAAATGCATTATATCCAAATCAGTGCAGATAAGTACATCATGCAGCCCAAACTGAGGGTATTAAACTGGAGTAAAGATCCTGGAACCACCAACGAAACATGGCAGATATACATGATAATAGCCACCCAACTTAACAAGTCTACGGCATAAGAAGTACCACCGCAGCATTATCTAGCCCCAAGAGGGAAGAGGGTATGCAAGAATGGAATAACCAACTTTACACATCAAAAGGTTAACAGTGGTTCAAATAAAAGCGTATATACTCCAAAAATTGTTGCTCAGGATTCTTCCTTGACAAAGAAACTCTGAGGCAAACAAAAATCTTCTTCATGATTAAGCATTTCAATCTCATCATCATCTGTTTTCTGAGGAAGAAAGATAAATCACTTTATCAGCTCTCAAAATCCAAAGCACTATGTTAAAACCCAATCCACAAACTAATGTCTTATTTGAGGGATAAATGATGAAAGTAAAAAATCGCAACTTATTGATAGCATACCAGCATTTCTAAGTTGTAGAACCGATCCAGCAATTGAAGGACCTCCTCAGAAGAGAAGGGTCTGTCAAAACTGAATGAAGTATATATAATACTAAGATTATATATCAAAAAATAGAGATCAAGCACATTATGTTTGATAATCAAACATGCAAGATAGACTTAAAAGTGGAAAGAACAAACCTCCTCCTTAGAAATTCCATCAGACCATAAAGAACAAAATGGCGATGTACTCCTTCATGGAAGCAAGACATTGATTGTAAGCATAAAAGTTGATGAAATTGGCAATAGCTTCTCTATGGATGAATCTTGACTGAATACAAAATCAATTTTATTAAGAGTAATCTAAGATAAGGCCATCTACCTTGATCTCATGAATCTGTTATTTGATAAACTGATGTAACCAAATTGCAACTTTTGAAGTTCATGCTTTTAGGAATGATTTCATGAAGGCCATACTGCCCCCACCCCAACCACCCAAAAAAAACATATTCCTCTAACTAAACCTCATTTACTAGGCAGCATGATGCCTAATCCCATGATTTAGTAGTACAACATATTACCAACTTCTATCAGGTCCCGACATCTTGCAACCTTTACTCTTCAATTAACATTACTATTTTCATTCTAGTCAGACAACATTACTAATTATTTCCTGCCATTTATCCATTTCAAAAACAAACCATATATTCACTTATCTATAACAAAATTGTTAGATCAAAATAATTCATGATGCTCAAATTAAAAGTGTTTCAGGGAATGTTAGCCCTTGACATGGTATCAGAGCTTATATAACCAAATAATAAAATTTTATTCATAAATTGTCCCCTCTTCAAGCCCAAATGGCATGAGATTGCTTATGAAAGATATAAAACCAGTTTTGCACCGTTATCACCCTGGTAAGACCAACTCTCCCAAAATATTACACATCACAGGCCCCATATCAAACAATTATGCAAATAAAATGATTAACTACAAAACAAAAAAATAAAGATATTTTTTAAAATACCTTGTAGTTTTATTGGAGGATAAATTTCAAGAGCTTCTAACAATCTGAGCTCCAGTTCAACCTGTGCTTGCTCCTGTCACCATAATCACATGTCAATTCCATATTCAAATTCAAATTTCAAAGTGAGTGAGTTAGAGTGAGAGTGAGAGTGAGAGTGAGAGAGAGAGAGAGAGACCTTGGGGAGAGAGGAAGCAGAGGAAGGAGGAAGCTTGCAGGGAGAGTGTACAGACATGCCATCCTGTTCCTCCTCTTTGGGTTTCCCAGCTCTTCCCCCGCTGCTCATTTATTTCTTTATATACTGATCACAAGACATGTCACATGAAGATAGAAACAGCACAGATTGCAATTGAAAAAGCAAAATGAAAAGAAAACGCAGCACTTCACATCCACAAAAAAGAAATTAAGCAATTAGCCAATGCCAATCACAATAAAAGTCTACCTCATGCCTTCACATAAATAATCTAGCAGACAGCATGCACAACTTCTTAATATCAAGCTTATGAATTGTCAAGTGTGTGAATAACCTCAGCTAATTAAGGTGCATTTTGATACTGAGCTTATTTAAATGCTTATTCAATAAGATTTTTTTTAAAATAATAGCTTATGCTATAAATTTAACGATGAAGCTTATTGGTATATGCTGAAAATAGTTAATTTTAATAAGCTAAGAAGCTTGTTAAAATAAGTTTAAAATGGCTTATATGAGAGTCATAAGCTAATTTTTATAAATTATTCGTAAACTTCTTCAAACGAAACCAGTGGAGCATATACTAAAGTGACAAAGCAGCAATTTGTTTGCTCCATTTTCTTGCAAGGACATTAGAGTGCAGATATAACCTGGATTATTTTTGAGAAATCAGCATGAATCATACTCACTGTTCCCAACATTCTCTTCCGATCGGAATAACTGTCATCACTTTTATTCGAACTAATTACATATTTTCTTACGATAGCAGAAAAAATAGTGTTTACAAATGAATAGAAATCTGGCCAAAAGAATCAATTATCTGTATTGGTAACTACATGCAACTACTCTATTTGTCCATGGATTGATCAATTATTGAGATTACGGTTTCCTTCTGTTTCGGGAAAAAAGGGGAAAATGAATCGGAAAAATAATGAAAGAAAAGAAAACACAGGGAACGAGAAAATTACGAGCCACAACGAGAAGTGAATAGGCTTACCGATTGAGGGGACGAAAGCGGTAACGGAATCAAAAACGGGGAATGGTGGCTAAGGCTAAGCACCGTAGCAACGACGAAGCGGTGTATAGCAGAAGAAAGCGTCTCCTCAACAAGCTCTTGCTATTCCTTCTTCTTGTTTCTTTTTAGAGTTTTATGAATTTTGTTCAAGGGAATAAATATAATAAATTTTTTATTAAATTTATAGTATTTAAAGTTATTAAAATTTAATGCAAAATATTATATGAATTTATTTTTGTGTGTCATTAAATTTATTAAAATCATTTTTTATTTTCATAAGAATATTATTATTTTTGGGTTTTTCATATTTTATTAAATTAAAATAATTATTTTGAAGGAAAAAATTAAAACATATTTTATAATAATTTTTAAATTTAATAATTTAAAAATTATATTTAATAATAAATATTTATTATATTGAATAAATTAAATTATTTTGCATATATAACAAAATTATGATCTTATTTTAAAATAATGTAAGAAACAAATAGTTAAATAACTTTTAAAATACACCAAAATAATAAATTAAATATATTATATTATATTATATCTTATATTTATTTTTAACTTAAATTATAAGATGTAATTTATATTAAAATATATATTTAATAAACTTATAAGAAAGATTTATTATATCTTTTAATTAAAAAATACTAAAAATAATTATAACATAGAAAAATTTATTATATCATATTATTTTATTTTTTTTGCTAATTTATATCATATTATATTATCATATCGGTAAAAAGTATCCTTAATATAAAAGTAGGCATTATTATTATTATTATTATTATTATTATTATTATATATATATATATATGGGAATTATTTTTTTTTAAATTTTTACATTCAATTTAAATTTTTTATTTAATGAATTATAATTTATTATTTATTTATTATTAAATATAAATTAAATAAAAGACTTTTAGAAAAGAGACTACTTATATAATTTATAATGAACTCATTCATTATCTTTATCAATTGTTGCAGAATAATCAGTCTAATTGCTGAGAATTTGCAGGATGATGCCCTGAGCAAATGCTGGCAGGAGAGAATATAAAGTGATAATGAATAGTGTATATTTAAACCAAGGCATGTCATCTTGATATTTATTAATCTGATATCGCATATCAATAGTTCAAATTTTGTTTTTAGATATAATTAAATTAAGTAGAAATATTTTAAGATGGAAAAAAGTTAAAAAAAATTAATGCATAAAGAATTACAAGAGAATAAAATTAACTTAAAAATTTATTTATTTATTACTGTAAGTACAAAAATAAGTAAAGTAACACTTAAGATTACCATGGCCTTGAGGATGATATTTTCTTATTATTAATTCCTCAACAAAATATGATTACAGTATCTATTTAAACTCATGCTAAAATATAAATGTAAACAACTGATAAAGCAAATAATAATAATAAAAAAAAACTGCAGCTTATTAAGCAAACAAACAGGAAATGTTGCTCAAATTTTAAGAGAGTTTTTATGATATAATTAATATTGGTAATAAAAAATTAAGCGTCAATAATGATGGAGAAACTGATATTAAAATTTTATCTTGATTCAATAAGTCTAAAAAGTAATAATTCAACTGCTAACATCGTCACATCCACACATGACGTACCCTATTTTGATAAGCCAAAATTAGAAGTTATTAAAACCACTAAATATTATGTGCTATCTTTATTTTTTGGCAAAGAAAAAAAATTACATTAACCATTATTCAATCTATAAAATTGACGAAGATGTTACCATAAACACCAAACAGATTAAGTCTAATTTTTATGACTAAGCTAAGCTCTTAGGTTTCTTTCTAAAATTCTAACACCAGGCTTTACCTTCCAAAACTTGTAACAATACCCGAAATCAAATGAAAACTAGACTTAATATATTTGTGAACATCAAGCATACAAAAAATTAAGTCAAAAGCATTTGGCACACGCGACCAAGAAGAAAATCAAAGCTTTAACAAAAGCATCACCATTGAATTTCACCCAAATCTTTGAAAATAAAAAACCACTCCCTCATGTTTAAATTATAATTCATAGAAACCAAACAAAGCACTGGACAGACAAACACAACAAATGACAAAAAATAAGTGAAAAGCTCGTCTCCTATGATCTCTAATGATTGCTTGTCAAAACTCCACTTTAATCTTTGATGCTCTTCAATTCTCTCCAGTTAAAATCCATTAGGTTTAGCTTAAAATATTAAATCCCTTAGCCCTCTACAGCAACCCACTTTCTAAAGCACTTTAAATTACTCTCAATTCATGATCAAAGATCACTACCCTGAACACCAAAAGCTTGGACAAGAGTAACTGAACTAAAAGAAAGAATTTTCTTCCTTAAAATATCTAAAAGATGGAATGTTCAAGAGTATTTTATATCAAAAGATTTATCATTTTCACATAATGCTCTCAAACGCATTTTCTTTTGGGTCTGTATCAAAGCCATTTTACCATAACACAACAATCCACAGGAGAAGGTTACGTATGGCCCAAATAAAGAGTATTTCTTTATTTGGTCCATAAAAAACAATGCTGGACATTCCCATTTGCCAAAAATGACACACCAAAAAAAAAATTGCAACCATGATGTTTATTCTTTATTTTGATGATAAAAAAAAAAAAAAAAAAAAGTGATCCATATGTAAAAGAAAAGTTGATAAAAAAAAAAATTCCTTCGCTAAAAGTTTATATATTTGTTAGAAAACATTTCGATATTTTAGAGGAGAAAGAAGATAAGATGAAAAGAACACTTTCCTTTGCACTCTTGATTTTATTTATATCAGTTAAAATTGATAAAAAAAAAAATATCAGGTTTGTTATTTTCCCTTTTTTACCAATCATTAGCATTATTTTTAAGCATGTGTTATAATTTTTACTGAAAAAAAATGTTAAAAAATCAAATTTGAAATTTATAATTCTTATAAAATAAAATAAAATAGTAAAATTTTACATAATTCAAAAAATACTTTATACTCTTTCAAAAATTAATTCCCCGGAGCTTGTTATAGAGTTTGGGATAGAAATACTAACATCTGTTGCTCGGATTAATCTAAAAGTTGCATTTCAACAACAACTATATGGAAAAAAGAAATATTGCATCAATTACTTTTAAATATGTTGGCTAAATAATTATAAATTATTTTCAAATTTAAACTGAGGATACCTAATTGTATTAAATATTTAGAGGGTGGGTTTTATTGACCATGTATACAGTTGCACAGTTTTATTTAATTATGAAATAAACTTTTATAAACATTCTTAACAAATCATTGCTGTTTTTTGAGTTAAACATTTATAACGTCCTGTGTTATTGTCTATCTTCATTCGGAAGTAATTTAAAACTTGATCTATTTCAACATCAAATTGTCGAGAACAGCAAAATGAACAGTCTTCAGATTTGAGGAAACAACAAGTGCAAGGGCGCAATTTAAGATTTTAGATGCATCACTGGACAAGTCGTTGAGCACATTGTAGAAACAAATAATGTGAGATGGCATACCCCACAAGACAAAGGCAAATAAAGTTGTATGTCCCATGATCACGAGGTTAGTAGAGAAATAATAAAGTGAAGTATCTCTCCTTTCACATACCTACACCACACTGCAAACTTATTTAAGATTCTTGTCTCTCTCTTCTTTTTCTAAACTTATTGGGTATATCTTATGATTTCAAATTTCTATTCATTGCATTCAATTCTGTCCCTGAATTACACATGGATGATGCAAACACATTGAGATTCACTGGGCCCAAATATACAAGTTCACAAGATTTGGTTTTATCCATTATCATGTATAATTTTGAACATCATGCCACTGCCCAAGAAAAAAGATTACAAAAAAGTTAAATCCATTTGGTTTTTTCTATACAACAAGTACGATGAGATTTCAAACATATCGTATAAATTATCTAAGTACAATTTTGGTAAACGATTGTTTCTAAAAAATACTCATTTTGTTTCATTAAAAAAAATTAGGTGAGAAAAATAATGATTTCTTTAAAAATAAAGATAAAATACTCTTATAAGATACAGGACATTCCTTTTGTTGTAAGCTAACATATGAGGGTAAATTAGAATTAAATTTCTTAACGATAATACTCTTTACAAAAATTATAAAAATAAAAATTAAATGATATTGATAGGGCTATAACAGATGTGTGTCCCATACCGAGGTGGATAGAGGTGAAGTGTTACGTACGGTTTTTGGGCAGTGACTGCGGCGACGATGAAAGGGTTCACGAGATACTTGAGATTGAGATTTGACATTGTTGTGTTCTGCTTACATTATCCCTTCAATATTCTCACTTCAAGCTTCTTTCTGTTTTCTACCATCTTCCTAAAATCGATAATGAAATAAAAAGTACCCTTTTTTAAATGCCAAAATCAACAAGATTTTAAGCACTATTTTATAGTAAATAATTTTCACAATCCATGAAAGAAGTATCATATCAGTAAAAGAAAAGGAAAAGAAAAGAGGTTTAATAAATAATATGATAGAAAAAAAAAGTTTAAATGAAATTACTTTGATTTTAAAATAAACATAACAATATTATTTTCAATTTTCAAAAGTGACATTAAAATGCTGAGTACAAATCATGAAGTCACCCATTCATGAAACTTCAAAATTAAAGACTACATATTAACATCATTTCTTAGGAATGAGTAATTATAGTGAAACGCTGGAAGCCTTTGCCGTGTGCATAAATAAAGTACCAAACTTCGTTGTACAAATTGTATTGATAATTAATTTTTTATAATAGGAAAATGCATTTTTTTTTATAATTTGGAGAAATGTTAATAAAATTAATGATTAAATGAGAGATGCAATAAAGAGAAAGCTAATGAGAAAAAACAGTTATAAAAACAAGGCAACTAAAGAGTGGTAGAGGAAGGGGATAAATGGATGAGGGTGGGTGGGTGAAGCTCTTGAGTCTCTTCCACGTAAAAATAATAATAATAATATTAATTTGAAACACTCACCAACCAACAAAATTCGTACATATGGTGATTTATTACACATTGTAAATGATACTCTTATTCTTACTCTAATACATGACACTAAAGCCAATGTTGATGCCCTTTTCCTCATGCAACCTTCTCTCTAGCTTCCCTTTGACTAACTCTACCACTTTAGCATATCACCAAACTCTTGTCTTTTCTTTTCTTCTCTTATCTTCCCTATGCAAAACTCACCATAAGCTTTTCTCAGAATAAAAAAACAAAATGATGTCTAAATTAGCAAACGGGGTTGCTTTGGCTCAAGACACAGAAGAACAAGACTCTGCTTCCGTTTCATGGACAAACTCAAATGCCAACATCAACACCGACGAATTGAGCCGTGTATTTGTATCATCACTCTGTGCTTATAAACCCATCATCTCTGGAATCAATGAAGAATGCTACGTGGCCAACAACACTACCCAAAACCAAAACAACCCTGATATAACAAAGGACATGGTCTTCTCACAAAACTTTGGTGACAATCCATTGCTCCAATCATTGGACACTTCCTCATCCACTGTGTTCACCCACCTCGACTCATCTCAGGTGCACAACTTCCTTACTCCAAACCCCATCTTTTCTTCTCTTCTCAGTGCCATCAACAACCCTTTAGAACATGGCTTTGACATGGGTTCTGAGGTGGGTTTTCTTGACCCTCAAGTTTCCTTTACTTCGAAAGTGTTGAACAAAGGTGATAATGCCTTCTTGGGTGGTGGCTTCATCACAGACTTCACCTCAAATAATAATAACCTTTTAGACTCACACCCCAACTTAGAAACTACGTGTATAATGTCCCAAGTGACACAAGTTGGTTTTTCGGGTCTTAAGAATAATAATAATAATAATAATAATTTTGATCACGAGGAGGGTTCTAGAAAGGCCTTGCTTCTGAACAAGTCCAACATATTGAAACCCCTTGAGTCCTTGCCTCCATCAGGTGCACAACCAACTCTTTTTCAGAAGAGAGCAGCACTTTGGAAAAACGTGACAGGTAATTACAAGGGCAGGTGTGAACTTGTTGGTGAAGGGAATGATGATAAGAAGAGGAAAACATGTAATGGAGAAGATGTTGAGGTTGAGGTTGAAGTTGAAGATGGGAGTTTTGATGGGTCAGGGTTGAATTATGATTCTGATGAGATGATTGAGAGTGATAACAATAAGACGGAAGAGAATGGTAAGGATGGTGGAAATAGTTCAAATGCCAACAGTACCATCACTGGTGTGGATCAGAAAGGGAAGAAGAAGAAGGGTGTACCTGCTAAGAATTTGATGGCTGAACGCCGCCGAAGGAAGAAGCTCAATGATAGACTCTATATGTTAAGATCCGTTGTCCCCAATATTAGCAAAGTAAGACTTCATTTCTTATATTATACACCCATCACTCTTTTATTCAATTATGGACTAGGGTTAATTAGTCACTTTTTTCTACTCTTATAGCGTGGCATCAACTTTATATTGTGTTATAGACCATGCATGATTCGTAATATATCCAATAGTAACTTCATCTTTAATTTGTGTCTAACATATATTAGGACTGATTATGATACTATTTGAAGAGGAAGTTATATATCATATCATGGCTTCAAAGTTTTAATTGTTCAATTTGTTTTAATGTGTTCTAGGAGGTATAATAAAAAATTAAGAGAGTTTGATGTATTGAATATTATAACATAATGTAATTTTTAATAAAAGTTTATTTATATATAACTTGTTACCGTTGTTTGCGCTGGATATGTATGATCGTTTGACGAATTTGGATTGAAATTAAGATGGACAGGGCTTCAATTCTGGGGGATGCAATCGAGTATTTGAAGGAACTTTTACAAAGGATTAGTGACCTTCACAATGAATTGGAGTCAACACCAGCTGGCTCTGCATTGACACCCACTCTACCAACACTACCATGCCGTATTCAAGAAGAACTTTGCCTCAGCTCATTGCCAAGCCCTAATGGCCAACCTGCCAGGGTAATATTGCTATATATATTCCCATGGCCTCCTTAATTTCTATTGCTATTTCTGGTTATGGATAACACAACTAGAAGCTATGATTTCTGTGTGCTTCAACGAGGAGTTGAACTCTTGCTTGTTCTTGGAATGGCATGAATAGTGGATCTTTTCTGGCTTCCTTATATATTTTTTCAAATAAAAAAATGATACATCAATTAATAATACTAAAGAACAGGGGCAACTATCTTACAATGAGAGAATTCTCTTTATTAAAGTATATTCCATCAAAGTATTTTTATAAGTGTAGTTCTCAACTTTTTTTATATAATTAGCATTTTTTTTTGTTTCTAATGATCATTAAATGACAACATGACTAATAAATGATCAGTTGTCGCATATTAATTATTTGCGTTATTACGTAGGGAGTGCACCAAAATATGTAAGTTGGATAAATAAAATTACAAAAAAAAAATTAAATTTTATAAAAATGTATATATTAAAATATATAATTTATCTCATTGACCTGTTATAAATATAGAATGGGACAAGTTAAATTTACTAAATTATTTTAGCATTAGGCTAGTGTCACAGTAAAGCCAAGCATTTATTTTATGAATACTATGTACGAGTCTTGTTCACAAGTAGTATTTTATTGTCATTACTTAATGACCAAAAAAATAGAAGATATTTAAGAAAATACACAATATTTAATATATTGGAAACTTAAAAAAGAAATCCTTAACAAATAGATGAGGGTAATAATTAGTATTTGACATTATTTATTAGTATTATTTGAGATAAACATTGTCTTGATGAAACCATTTAATTTGCTGGTGGTGTTTTAGGTTGAGGTTCGGTTGAGCGAAGGAAGAGGTGTAAACATCCACATGTTTTGCGGGCGCAAACCGGGTCTCTTGCTGTCAACTATGAGGGCTCTGGACGACCTTGGTTTAGACATCCACCAGGCAGTTATAAGCTATTTCAATGGATTTGCTATGGATATTTTCCGAGCTGAGGTGAAATCTTTATTCTTCAATCGTATGTTTCCCATTTGGAACTCATACCATGTGCATCCACCCCATAAGCTTAATAATAGATATTATCTCCAATCAATCCCCTATATATTATATGGTAATTGCTTTCATGTGTACATTCCCTAACTTTCTATTTATTGCTACGAACCTGACATGATAACCATAATCGACCATCGTAAATTCAATCTACGACAATATTCTATTCCGTGTATGTTAATGGTAGAAGTGTTAATAAATGCTATTATCTTTTTGCTTTTCCCGGGAACATTCCCCTTGCTTTGTTAATAAGGGTCAAATTCTATTGAAATAATACCTGGGAATTAAAAATAAGAGTTTGTCCAAGTTAACCTCGTGGATAAATAATCTCATCCTAGGTGAACTAATGAAATTAAAAAATTGAATTGAAAATTATACCAACTCCTTATTTAACTTTTTATAGACAAAAACTCATTAATCTAGGATAGAATTATTTATCCCATAAAGTTAGCTAGACAAACTCTACAAAAAATGAACATTAATAAAGTATTGAACATGTTTTATTTGATTTTATTTTCTGTCTGAGGGCTAACCGTCGCTCTCTTTCAGCAATGCAAGGAAGGTGAGGATGTCCATCTGGAGCAAATCAAAGCAGTACTAATGGATTCAGCTGGGTTCCACGGCATGACCTAGTGTTTTGTCGACAAGCATACTACTTACCACCATTTGAAATAGTCAATTTAACGCAAAACGTTAAGGTTTTTAATGCCAAGTGTATGATACAGGCTTTCTTATCATCCTTTCAGTTGATCTAGGAAAGCAAAATTTGACTTGTTTTACCGATTGAAAGCACTATTACTGTTGACACCCTTTGCAAGTTCAAGTTGAAACGGAAGTTGATGGTCTCCGTTTAGTTTAGCGACATTCTGAATTTGCATGTTGATGTCAAGCTTGATTCTACAATGTCACTGTCTTTCATCATTGTACACTTAGTAGGGACAAAGCTTTTTAAGCACTGATTTCCCTTTTTTCACCTCTTTAATAAATCAAGCTCACCAAAAAATTTGTTAATCTTTCCTTTTTCTAAGAACAAAAGGTGACAGATAAAAATAAGATAAAAAAAAGTGCTTTTACCAGACAACTGAAAATCCAATGCTGGCAGAAGCCAGGATAAATGGGGTCTCACGCATCTGCGGCAAAAATTAAAGGATTCGCCAAACAGAGTCCCCACTGTAGCCTACTTTTAATCTAAATAAATAATGAATTCCATGGGCCAAAGCTTGCTAGACATAAAGGACAGAACCTCCAAAAATAATTGGGTCCACAACGTGCTAACATAGTGTGTTTTATCAGCTGAAAAGTACAATCATTTTTTTAAAAAAAACTATTATTTTGGTATTCAACGATGGTGCTTTCAAGGAATGAAATTTTATCACGTAACCACTTTCCAGAAATCGCAGAGATAAGATGACCACATCACAACTAGCAGTGCCATCACTACGATTAAGCACGAAATACGTTTCACAAAAGAATTTTCAAATCCTCCATCAAGATTTCCAGACCCAAGTGTCCACTTTCTCCTCCCGTGAAACGACTTCAACTTCAATCTGCGCCGCTAATGCCAAGGACACGGTGAAATGGTGACAAAGCCCAAACAAACGAGAAATTAGATGCGAATTTTAATTACACGTCTAGCCAAAAGCATATTATACTTTAATATCCACAATGATTTCCACGGCACACATTACTATCACAAATTACCACTAAGACAATCAAATTTAAAATCAGATAACCGCCCTTGTATATGAACTTAATTACATTAATGGGTTGGGGTTCTAAGGATGCAAAGGTAAACTATGTACAAGGCAGGATTGATGAAAAATGCAAGGCCAATACACCCCTTATCACCTCGCTCAAGGCATAAATTACACATACTATATTAGGAGTGTATAACAAGGAAGGCATATATACTAATGCTACGAATTCCACGACACGGTCCAAAATTGGATGGATACTCATTCATGCCATCCATATTCTGATTCCAAACACAAAACAGTCACTTAATAAGCAAGTCAGATTCAGAATTAGAATTCTCTTCTTCAGGTCATATTCTCCAACTGGATGGCTTTATGACAGTCACCTACTACTTCCCACTCCAGTCTGGAATCTGGATCAAAACAAAACATATATACCATGAGATTCTTCTAGGAAACAGGATTCAAAATTATGGACAGCTTAAAAGTAATAAATGATCAAGTCACCTGGAAGCTATGGAAATCAAACCTACGGATTATCAGGTATCTGAAGCTGAATGATTGAGCTGACATTTAATTTCTTGTGCATCAGCCCCTTCACTAGCTGACTCTTCATTTCTTGAACTTAAGGTACCGGGGCTCATTTTCTGAATCTCCTCTTTGGGGTAGATATAGATTTTGCGGACCATTGCAACAAACTCCCTGAATTGATTATATAATTGTGCAACTGATGTCAATTTCAAGAGAAAAAAAAAAGAGTAAAATTTCACTTAAATAGTAAATCAAAAGTACAGTTACACAGATCCTTACTGCCACGGATCATCACCAACAAGCATCATATCACCCTCATTGTCAGTGTAGACAATAAGCCAGTCCTTTTGTGGAGAAGATAATTCACCCCCAAAATCAAACAGCTGATCCAATTCAGCAATTAATTCATCATAATTACTGAACTTTGTAAGGTCCACGGACCTACCAAGTGCAATCCCCTTCTTGTGAACCTAAAATAAAAAGCACTTGATTAATTTTCCTTGCAATCTTTAGTTGTTATTTAGTTAAAATCCAACATTGAAGGAACTCACTTTAGTGCAACTTCTAGCAGAGCCACCATGAGGCTTGGATTGAACATCATTTAAATGCGGCTGCGAAGTTTGCAGCAGCTTTTCATGGTCATCAGTCAGCAGACCATCAGACAGTTTTGATCCCCTCGAATGCTCAGACTTCTGAACATTTTCAAATTTGCGCTGTTGGTGTGATGAACAATGCACGTGGCCAACTGGCTGCTCACTTGCAACATTCCTTTGTGAAACAGAAGGCTCTGGTGCAATGGGGCTACTGAGAAGTGAGATGCCAAACAGCTTACAATCACCATCTTTATGCCTCGCAACCTCAGAAGGTTTTCCTGATACTGGTTTGGGCAACAGTTCTCTTGAATGAGGACTTTCAAACTGAGTTGAAGTTGGTGGTGGCATCAACAAGTTTCCGTGTGGATGCTCAACTTTATGTCCATGAAGAACAGGGTAGTCACCAAAGGCACTATTATACCTTATATTCCCTCGAACTTGGTAAGTTGTATCACTGGCTTGAGCAGAACCTTTTATATTAGAGTCCAAGAGACTGAGCGATAGATTAGAGGGCATTACAGACCATGGATTGATAACATTATGTTTTCCTTCACGATCCAACAGATGTTTCCTACCAGGGTTAGCTACAGGACCAGTTTGATCAACATACGATGGATGGGATGAAAGATCTCCGTGGGACCCAAAGCCTGAAAGCAGATCTGGATATGCTGGCTCGTGTCTTCCCATTGACATCCAGCCCTCTGATGCATACCTTCTTGAAGTAGAAACAACATCAATCTTTTCGTCATCTGCAACAGGTGGCCACGCAACAGACTTCTCTGCAGTATCAGATTCGTTGCTTTCAGCAAAATTACCTCTCAAGGTCGATAATTCTTGACCTTGCAAGACCCTTTGAAACCCACTTGCTGGCAAAGGGTCTATACTTACTTTAGAAGATGCTGTTAATCAACAACACATCAGGCTTCACACAATCGCACAACTTGCAATGATGTAACTCAGAAATATCAAAACCACTTAACCATACCTTCTCTGGTAAGAACAGACGAATCTGGGGATGATGGAACTGCATTAGATCGAGGTCTTTTAGCCCTGGGCATTGGTAGAGGATTTAGAGCCGGTGGAGCATGAGCAGGCTCTATTTTCCATTGGGAAACTCTTTCAGGACGAGGTATGTTAGATGTTTCATCCCATCTCACCTGGCAGACACATCACACATGAGGAACACCATTAAATCGTGTCCAATTACACAGTCACAGTGACAAGAACCAGAATACAACCTTAAGACTTCTCCATTTGGATTTTGGCCACCTTTGAGGGTCAGCATCTTCGATTCCAACAATGGTACCAGTAAACCTACAAATTTAACACATCAAGTCACGGAATTTCGTCTTTTCAAATTGTATATTCAATAACAATACAGTAATTCCCGGCACATAGACTGATCCGAGGCAGGAAAGAAATGAAGACAAACATACCTTTGCTCTGGAGCCTCTTCACCTTCGAATCTCATCTTAAACCTCATCCCAATGGTGTAATTGCTTTTAAGAGACTCCATGTATTGATCATATGGAACAATGAATTCAGCCGGACTAGTCCTGCAAAATAACATTTGACATTATTGCTGTAAATAGTGGGATAATCAACAAAAAAAACACTCAAATCACCCACAAGTAAGAACAAGGTGCAAACCTAGGCTTGTAATATACAGTGAACATGGTCCCGGTCCGTATGGCATGCCAGGCAGTTGCAAGGACACCTAGATGCATGCTATGGCTAGAGATAACAGATGATGGAACATTACCCTGCTGTCTCATTGCACGCCTAACCCCAACACGAAGCTCCCCGTTCTCACCCCTGGAAGTCCTAAATTACCTTAGTCTGATACCAGAAAAAGAATACCAAAAGCCAAAAACCGGTGAAATCTAAACCCCATTCACTATAACAAACCTTAAAAATATAAACGCATCTCCGGCGACAAGCCTCTTGGAGCTGACAAAAACACTCCAACCACTTTGCAGCAAATGTCTACGCGGTTGACCTGGAATCCTCTTCACTCATCAGTCACAAACGAAAAAAAAAACCAACAAAAAAACACATAGTACAAAAACAAAACCTTGTTTCACACATATTACAGAACCTCAAGACATAGATCCATAATTAGTAATTACCACGAAAGATATGCCTGAATCGCCACTCATTCCCATGCAGATCCTTAGCGACCAATTCCTGAGTAGGTGGCTGCTTTGACATATCCTGTCAAGAAACAACAAACAAAGGAGTCCTCGAACTTCAGCTTCAACAGAACATAAACACTAAGCACGTGGAAGAGCTAAAAGAGAAGAAAAACCAAACCAACCAGCGGAGGAAGGCATTCATCAGCGTGTCTTCTCAGCACGGAAAACCCACCATGAGTGCTTGTATCTGACGCCGTCAGCGTTTTACAGAAGGAATGCACGTGGAATCTTGGAGGCGGAGTCGGAGGAGCCTCTTTCTCCACCGCATTCTCATTTTGCTATCATTCAGATCCATTGCCCAAAACAAAGAACAAAATAAGAACCAAGTCGTTGCTCAACTACTACACAACAATAAACTACAGAGAGTGAATATCTTACATTTGACTCAGGAACTAAGGTCACCTGAGCAAACACCTCATCCGTGTCTGGCTCCGCCTGAAAAATTTAGTCCAAAACATAAGAAAAATTCATAACAATTCCATTCACCATCTTGGTTCAAAAACCAAAAAGTAAAGAGAACAGTACCTTGAGCATCACGTTGATAACCCGACAAAGGATCTTAGGTGGGAGATCGTACACCGGCATATGCTGTTCCGCTACCTGATTTGTCGACGCTTCCACCTAATGCATGTTCGTGCCATGAAAACAAGCCACCATGTTTACAAACATAAACCAAAAATAGATACCCATCTACAACAAATTTCACAGTACAACCCGAGTTCAAGTGAAAAAAACCCAACCTCCGGCGAAGAAAATCTCATCCCGGTGGCTACAAAAACACGATTAGCACTTACCTGCTCAATATGTCCTTGAGGAAAATAGAACACGCGCTCTCCTTCTCTAGGCACTGTGACGAGAGGACCCGCACACGCATGCCACAGCTCCCTGTAAAGGGCAGCTTCCGCGTCTGAAAAACCAAAAACTCGTTATCCTGACGCCAAACACGCCGCAAACTAACTATTTCTAAGAGGAAAGCCCCTTACCTCTTGTGGATGACGAAGAAGAAGCATGTTGACACTCTCCTGCACTATTTCTAGCATCGTTGTTTTCTCCTTTTCCGTTAACGGAATTTCCCTTGATTGAAACATCTGATGACGCCATTTTTTTGCTCACAGATCTCTCATACGAGAATTCCCTCGGGTTCTATGACATCTGAGGAAGGGAACAAGTTCTCTCCGATCGGGAAACGAAATTCTGAAAACTGGCAAAGATAAGAAGCAGAGAGGAAGCAGCACCAATTCCCAAAACCCTTCTTCAATTGACCCTTTCAACTACTCACTTTCTCTTTCTCTTTCTCTTTCTCTCTCTTGTTTTTCTCTCTCTTTCTGAGCTGATAAATGGTTGCAGTACCAGAACCACTGTCGGAGGGGGAGACTTAACCAGAGTGGTCAAAACAGCGTGCAATCATTTCAACCGCGGTCAATTCTTAACCACTCTAAGCAACCGGCTTCACCGGTGGACCCTGGCCTTTGACACCGGCTACAACAGGTGAAGCACTTTTCCTGCCAGGGAAACGCGAACAACGCGATCTCTTTTCATAAATAAAAGGCGGCTTCTCAGACACAGAAGGGGATACTACAAACGGCGTTAGTGTAAGTTGGGGATAGTGGAGAGGATATAGGATGGGGCATCAAACGGCGTGTGTCTTGACGGTCGCAGGAAAGTTGCTCTGTTTTTATTGGGAAATGGCGTTGTCGTGCTGTGGACGGGCAGGGATATGCTAATGTAATGAGGGTACGGGTAGAGAGGGCGCATTTAACACCCAACCGCGCAACTTAACCATGGTTTGGTTTGTTTCTTTTTCCTTTTTCCCAATTTTATGCATTCCATTTAATAAATCATAAATTCGTACTCTTATTAGCTGTTTTTTATTTTCTTTTTCCTTTTTTTTTTAATTTTTTGCGATAAGAACTTTGATGCGCCAGGGCAGTAGGGCACCACACAACTGTGAAGACTGAACAGCAGTTGTCGCCCCCATTTGTGCCCATCCCATCTTTCTCTTATCTCATCTCAAATATTTGCCCCTCTATTTATACAATTTTTAAAATAACTAATATTATAATGTATTTTACCATAATTTTGGTCATTAAATAAATCACTAGTTAGACGAACAAAAAGTCCACCACATATCCCACTCTTTTAACATAATTTATATTAATTTTTCCCGTTAATCTAATAAAAGCACTATAAATTAGCTGTTGATAATAGTAAAAAAAACAAACTTTTGCTGCTGTAAAGATTAAATACATTAATAAATAATAATTATATCTTAATTAAAAAAAAAGAGTTTAAATCTTAAAGCAGATAAATATTGAAAATGCTTATGCGTGTGCGACTTTAAATTTCTATATTCTCATATGTTCTCACACAAAATGACGCATGGCTATAAAATGACCCCAAAAAAATATATATCTTTTTTCAAATTAGCAGTTTAACATAGTACCATAAAATTATCAATGCATGTTGTAATAACTGTGAAACTCGTTTAAGTCAGATAAAACATTAATTAAACATTCGTGATCGTAATATAAAATTTGAGAGGAGGACATTCAATGGTGTTGAAAGATGAAATTTGGAAATAATTTAATTTTACCATTCAAACTAGAAATTTCTAGGTAACAGAACATCCTTTAAATTTGCAGTTGTTTTTGTAAATATATATTGCTTCTTTTTTCCAATTCTAACCTAGTCTCTGGTCAAGTTCAAGAAAGTTTATAAAGAATATGCAAGCATAAATAATTGCAAATACTCGTCAGCAAATAGTGAATTGTGGTTTCCTTTCTTCTTCTTTTTTTAATACGGAAGCATTTTTCTATTTTTAACGTTATGAAAGAGTCATAAAGCTAGTAATATAGATATGTACAAAATCGTTGAAAGATATTATGCATTAAAAAATCATTTAAACTCATCCATTATTTATGAAAACTTAATTAAATGTTAACTTTTTTCTTTAATAACGTCACAGGTGATACAAACATAAAAGTGTTGTAACTAAATAATAATATTCTTCTCAGTTTTGGTTTTTTTCTTATTCAAGGGAGTTATACTCCTAGGTTCAACCATATATATTTGAATTTACAAACGACAGATTAAAAAAAACAAAAATCAATGTAAACTGGCAAGATATGAATATTATTTTCTCAAATTTTATAGAGCTAAAAATATACTTAGTTTTTATATATACATAATCAGATTATCAAAATTAATAATATTCGTATATATATATCTTTATTTTTATGAATGCTCTGGCATTCTAAAGAGATCTATTGCTTTTTTTTTATTGAATCAATAATAAAAAACTATTATTAAATATAAATAGATAGTATTATATCATTAGACAAATATCGAGAGTTGTTTTTTATTTCTATTATTTAAATTTTTTAAAATATTAACATTTTATTAAAAATAAATTTAAAGTATAAAATATTATAACTTGTTATAATTTTAAAGAAAATTAATAAGTTAAAAAATCTTTAATCCAATTGACAATCCATTATGAAATAAAGAGCAGAGAAGGACATGTGTTGGAGTATTTGAAGAGCTAAACATTACAGTGTTGGAGTATTTGTTGAGTTAAACGTTACAAATCATGCCACCTTTTCTCCGAGAAAATATCTTCCCAGAGTCATGGTAGCCACGATTCCTACATGCATCGAATTTTCGCCTACAAGTTAATTACAACACGACACGTTCTCTTTCAACTTGCCAACACATTTACGTACCTACAAACCGTGAGAGACATGTATATATTGGGGGGACAGGTGATTAAATTGTAATATTACGCCAGATGGCAAAAACTTCAACAAAATTCCCTATCAGCAATGAAATTCAAGTCAAATAAAACTATATATACATATTTACATACACACATATTCCACTTCTAACTCAATTGAACCAACGTTGAGAAAGTTTAATTAAAACCCAGACACATCGGAGAAAAAAGTGAATTGTCATACGTGTTTGTTTGGTAATCCATTTCCTGTTTTGCCTCTCATATGAAAACAAAAATGTAAATATTTTTTTATTAAAAATTTTAGGGTTTGATAATATTTATTTATTAAATATCATGATATTCTATAATTTAAACAATTTTATTATAAATCAAATTATATTGTATGATTAAATTGATTTTTAAAACAAGTTTACCTTTTCTCCCTATACTATGCCAATTCAACTTAAATTTGTTTGTTTAATATTACCGGAATATAATTAAGGAAGGTTAAGGTGAGTTTTGAACCACGCAAAAATGTTGTCGCTAGCCTGTTGCCAATTAATGGCTACTTGTATGTTTGAACCATGCCACAAGAATATGTGGCAAGCATCAGACTTGTCAACACGCAAATAAATAAATGAACAAAAAATGGTTCCAAAAACTAATGACCAATGACACCAAAGTTTTTTCCCTTTATTTAATTTTTATACGCTATTGTTCCCTTGTATAAAATTAAGAATACACTGTTTACAAAGAGATGTAACGTGCACGTAACATTTTTTCCAATTACCTGTTATATATAACGAAAGGAACATGAAATGCTTGTCTAAAATATCCTAGTATTTTGCCACGATAAGCAGAACAAAAGTTACCTGAATTTTCATTTAATGATTCACTCGGGTTTGCTGGAACACATTTTATACTATTTTTTATACGCGGGGTATAAATAACATTTATCCCTGAAAACAGGTGATATAAACAAAGCCTATATATTTTCCTACAAGACTGAAAAATAATTAAGTTTATAGATATATTTACTAAATTTAATTAATTAAAGTATTTTTGAATAATACTTGTTTAAGAAATTTAAATTTCATCAAATACAACTAAATATAAAATAAATTTTATTAATTTATCTAGATATTTAAGTTTTTGTTTCTTCTATTTGTTTATTCTACACATTAGGTATGTAGATAAAGGATAAATTAAAAATGAAAATATTCAAATAAAAAATTTATTACATTAAATGAAACAATTTTATTTGTTTCATTAAAGTTATACACGGTAGTAATGCACATGCACACGTATGCACGCTTAAAATATGTCTAGTTGTTACTATATATCAATATTTTATGACACTTTTTGTGTTTTCTGTAAAAACATGCTTCTTGATTGCATTATTGGGTTTTGTCCATGCTTGTTAAACAAACTTTTGATATTCTTATACTATTATATTTATAATTAATATTTTTAATCAGATAAATTATTTTTTTTATCTCAATTTTTCAATAAAGAAAATTTATTCATACATACATCGTAATTATTTGTTTCAGAAATAAAAAAATTATAGAAAAAACTGCAGCAATTTTGAGGATTTTAAAGTAGAAGTCCAAAGTATGTAGAATTGCAAAATACACTTCCTTTCCTTATATCTTTCTATTATATTTATCATAAGTCCTTAAATTCTTTGTTAAAGTGTTAGTCATAATTTTCACATTATTTTCATTTTCAGTTATAGTTTCTCTTTCACTCTACTACTACATTTTCCTTTTTTTTATGACATTATCGCTAAAATAACCTTGAAGCCACATTCTTTTTATTCCCTAAAACTTTTCTTCTCTGCTTTTTTTTTTTTTTTCTAGAACTATTCTCCATTAAATCTTATGAGACATGGACACCGTTAGCAACCTTTACTCATCGGTTATCGAAACTATTTTGCTTTCCTTTAGCCCCTTGTATATAACAATTGTTCCCTCTAATCATCTTTTACTTCTCTTTCTCACAAGTCCCAGAAAATCTGTTTTATTTTATCTTTGAGATATTGTATTTTACATTTCCATTTTATTCTTATTTTATTATTCAGTTCCCAACCCTATTTTAATAAAAGAATTATAATTCTTGAAAGATAAAATATATGATTACTTTTACACATATAATTAATTAAATTTTTAAAAATGGTTATTTTTAAAAGAAATTTTGATTTGCGAAACCCAAAAATTTACCACAATACTAGACAACAAGTTTTAAAAAATTGAAGTTTTTATTTTATCTACAAAATTGAATTATTATTTTTTTGCTTTTCATTTTTTTATTTTTTACACAATTAAATATTTAATAAATCATGTGTTTGTATTTATTATTATCATTTTTCAGTTTTTAACTGCTGCTATTTAACTAATCTGATAAAGCAGAAGATGATTAAAAATGGTTTTAAATTTTTATATAAAAGATACTTTTAATTTCAATATGGATTCATTGACCAACCTTTAGTATTTTCAACAGATTAAAAATAGTATATATAATAATTTTGTTTACTTATTTATACAAGTAGAAAGAAAAATACATAATAAATTACAATTTTTTATAAAATTTTATTTCATTTTTATAAAAAATACTCATTTTCTCTACTTTTCTCCACATTGAGAGCTAAGTTTTTTATGTCTAAAAAAAAATCTTTCCCTCTCATTTGTCCTTTTCAAAAAAGAAAAACAAAAAGTTAATATTTTTATCTTAACTTTTTTTAATTTGCACCAACCTAACCATAGCCGTAGAAGAGTTAATGTCTAAGTTTTAATTTTAT